AGGCTGGATATGATTGATAGAGGAACTGTGGTTGTCTGTAAGGAGACAATTAGAACTGAGCTGCATGCAATGGGTTGACAGAAAAGTCGAGGAATTCCATCACCGATCATGAAACGTGAACAAAAGGAGCGAAGGTTGAACTGGTGCTTAGAGCATAGAAATTTTAACTGGGACAATATGGTTTTCTCAGATGAAAGTTCTGTGTGGCTGTTTCCTAATACACTGAAATTCTGGACCAAACAAACTGAAAAACTTTTGTATCAGTACAGTCCGAAATTTAACATGTGGGGTGGCATATCTGTGTTAGGGGCAACGGCCCTCTGTGTATTTGAAGGGAATATGAACAGTGGAGCGGTACACAGGTATTATCGAGGGACATTTACTTCCATCTGCTCACGTGTTCTATGGAAAGTTTTGGATGTTCCAGCACGACAACGACCCAAAACATCGTTCAAAGCATTCACAGGCCTGGTTTCGGACCCAAAATATGACATTATTAGACTGGCCAAGCTATAGCCCTGACCTAAATCCAATAGAAAATGTGTGGGGACTTATGAAGGAAAGTGTCAATAAGAAACATCGGACAAATATTGCTGAAATGAAAGAAGAGGTGGTCCGATATTGGGACAGCATGGACTACGACTTTCTAACTTCTTTGATCAGTAGTGAGCCCCGCCGCATTGAAGCCTGCATTGCTGCCCATGGTGACTTAACAAAATACTAACTGTTCACCTATCTTTGAATCTGGAGTTATGTTCTGCTAATATTCACATTTAATACGTGAGTAATGAGTGAAATTTCTTTTTTAAAATGACAATCTTTAAATTCTCAATAATTTCTGGTTGTACTGTAGTAAAGTGGATGGAGAGTTTTTAAGTTCTGCTTCAAAAAGGAGCACTACCACATAATTCAGTCAAAGTCAAACTTGTTGCCATGGAAATGCAAAAACTATTTTATTAAGAATGGTGCAGAAATAGTAAACGTTCTGCTCTGGAAAAGAAGAATGTGCACGGGAACGACGGACGCACGGACAGAGTCCATTTTAATAACCCCCTGCAACACGTTGCAGGGGATAAAAACAGAGCCACACTTATTTGCAGCTCACCTGCTGAATTAATAATTTGATGACATTAAGATGGGGACATGTATAGTCAGCCTGAGAAACAATTATGGCACCCAATCATAACATAGGAAAATTGCTCTGTGACACAAAACCTGGCAACATTCATGCAAGATTTCAGTTTCATAGGGCTTTCGCCTTTCAAAGAGATGTTAAACTGTGTTAACACAAGTAAAACAGGAATACTTGAACATTTTGAAAGTCAAAAAATGGTTGCTGATTCAAAATATACAAGAAGACAAAGTCATCAATATCCCCCGCAATGGCAAAATACTATTCATGAATATGTCTACGAGTTATGATTATGTCAAATGTTTTGGTGTGTATATAGAAAGGTGGAAGGAGAGTATTGAAAGGTTTTTTAAAGTTCTGCTCCAGAAAGGAGCACTACCACCAATTTCAGTCTAAGTCAAAGTTGTTGCCATGGAAACACCAAAAATATTTTATTCAGAATTCCCAAACTACCAATTCCACGGCACCAGTACACCACCACATCTATCCATGTGCCAAGTTTGGTGAAGAAATAGTGAACGGTTTTAAAGTTCTGCTACGGAAAAGACAAATGTGCACGGATGCACGGACGCACAGACAGAGTCCATTTTAATACCCCCCGCAAAACGCGTTGCAGGGGGATAAAAATGCCATAAAATGTGTTATATTAAAAAACATATCCTGGAAACACAAACAGAATAGTCCAGAATATTTAACAGATCAACTGACAATAACATAGAGAGATACACTGGGTTCAGAGATATCTAAATGGTAAACATTTAAGATTGACAACCAACCTAACTAGAGTCATCAGAAGATGACAAATCCCCCAGGCAACACAAATTTAAATGAACAAATCATCTAACAGTTACTCAGAGGTACAGATAAGCTGTGTATCTGCGTAAATTATGTAAGTATTTATGTGAAAACTCAATTCCTATTAAGTCTATTGCGTACAGGTATGCTTGAATTTTTGTAAATACTCAATAAATTTGATCTTACATGCATACACACAAAAATGACAAATCTTAGCTTGCGTACTGTAACATTCAGCAAACCTACTAGAATTTGAAGTAAGCAGACCCATGCACTACAGATGGAGGTAGACTGACAATTAGTCTCTGAAATGAACATATTTTACAGAAAAAAAAGTTCAGAAAAAAATATATTTAATGAAAAGGAATCCTGAGACTTTCTTCATTTACTGAAACTACAGAAATCTAGACTTGACACATATTCTAGACTTGCATGGGCTTTCTTGGATATATTTATTTCAGGGTCTGTATGACAAACTACAGATGAAGGTTACTGAGGTTAAACCACTAGGGAAAGTTACGTCCATTGTTCTTGGAAGTGTTTTATTTTATTTCTATTTAAAAACAATAAAATTGTACTCATTTTGATTATCTTAATTAAGAAATACAGTTCGCTCTACCCCCATGTATAGTGTAATAAAACACACTTTTGCCCTGAACTATTATAGTTAAAGCACGAGGGCGCTTTAGCGTCCGAAAGTGCTTTAACGTCATAATAGTTCAGGGAGAAAGTGTGTTTTATTACACTATACATGGGGTAGAGCTTAACTGTATTTCTTTCTAAGATGCCAAATTTAATACTTTCTAAGGATAATTCGATTAATTTATGGCAGAAAACAAACGACGGTGTCGGTGACCTAAATTAAGAATCCTTGCACAGGGATAGCTGGCACGCTGTTCTATTGATGTGTCAGACCCCTACGTTAAGACGAACGTTACCAGAAAAAAAAAATGATAAACAGTTTCATGACGGTTTACGTTCGGATTAAATATCTTCTCTAAAGTATTTTAATTACATCTGTGATTAACGTAAACCACGTGAACGTCGCATTTCTACTACCAACGTATGTTGAGATCAGTACATCCAGACGAAGCTGAGTAGTCTAGCAACATTCCACGATTGCATTGTGGGAATGTAAACATTGCAAACGTTACCGTGTCGCTGAAAACTTGCGAGTCGAATTGAGACATTTAAAACGTCAGAAAACATAAACGTAATGTTTCCACCAGTGATGTTAGGTGAGTGAAGCAACTGCAAACCAAGAAACGGGGTGCAACGCAGTAGTTTACTGTAGGAGGCTGTACGAGGCGAAGACAACTGACATGCATCGTGACGTCGCTTACACTGTGACGTAATGTAAAATGGTTCGATTACGAGGGGGCACACTAGAATGGCGCACAGGATAACGTCATTCAATTGTTACGTCATCAAAAAACTATACCTTTATTGTCTGATAATGTATTTTTTTTTCGATTGTTCTAAGCGCTAAGCATCTTAGAATCATGCCTAATACATTACATGCGTATTAAATAAGTATGCCCTCATGTTTTAAGCCGTTTAATCACCCTTACAAGGTAGTTATTTAAATAAACTCTGCGAGGGCTTTAGATAGAACAAGTGTTTGCTACTGATATGGCAATGTCCCCCGACGCTAAAAAATGGAATATTTATAACATATTTACTACTTTTTATTTTTTCATCACATACAAGATGCCTGAAATGACTGGTGTCTGCATTATCACACAATGTAGGCTGTCAACAAATTTGAAGACATTGGGTACAACAGTCCATGAGATATCGCGTTAACAAGAGTTAAAAGTGAGCCAAGTGTCGTGGTGACCTTGAAGATAAGGTCAAGATCACCCAAATCGACTGGTGTCTGTGTAATCCCCCAATGTAGGCTGTCACCAAATTTGAAGACATTGGGTACAACAGTCCATGAGATATCGCGTTAACAAGAGTTAAAAGTGAGCCAAGTGTCGTGGTGACCTTGAAGATAAGGTCAAGATCACCCAAATCGACTGGTGTCTGTGTAATCCCCCAATGTAGGCTGTCACCAAATTTGAAGACACTGGGTACAACAGTCCATGAGATATCGCGTTAACAAGAGTTTGAAAAGTGGTCAAAGTGACGTGGTGACCTTGAAAATAAGGTCACGGTCACCCCAATCGACTGGTGTCTGTGTAATCCCCCAATGTAGGCTGTCACCAAATTTGAAGACATTGGGTACAACAGTCCATGAGATATCGCGCTAACAAGAGTTAAAAGTGAGCCAAGTGTCGTGGTGACCTTGAAAATAAGGTCAAGGTCACCCAAATCCACTGGTGTCTGCGTAATCCCCCAATGTAGGCTGTCAACAAATTTGACGACATTGGGTATAACAGTTCATGAGATATCGCGTTAATAAGAATCAGGACGTACATACGTACGGACACCACTGAATACATAGTCCCCCGTTCCGCGTTGCGGCAGGGGACAACCATTCTTATTCTTGAAAAAATACAACCAGTGGATCCGTAAAACAAGAAATAAAATTGGTCTGGCCTTAACTCCCATTCTCTAACATTGCACTGAGGTTACCCTAGTGACTTATGATCACCTTTGTGCTTTGTGAAAGGAGGCCCTGGTTACTAAGTCCAACTTGGTGAGAGAATTCTGTCTAAACTGTTCGTCCACATACAGGAGTAGTTTTGGAGCTATCAAAACAATAATATGGAATTGGGATTTGTAACTTTGTATTGCTATGTCAGGTACACACCAATATCAAATTCAAAGGAAAATACAAATTGTAAACCGACTTGTAGCAAAAGGCAGCAGTTGACAACCAGATTTTCGTTTGTGCACAGTTTCATGAAAGAATACCTATTAGCTTTAAAGGTATGTCCAGACACCACTATGAACAGAGTCAAACTCAAACCTGTTGCCATGAAAACAGAAACAAAGTCATTTTTTTAAAAGTCCTAAACAGCAAAAGGCCCTTGGTTAATACATGTACTGTCACTATTCATATAAACACAAATATGTTGACACCTTACCGATTGTGTAATTCACTGTGACCATAATGCTTACTTACTTGTAGTTCATATGTGGCCATTTTGTGAATGTTTCTCGCCGAGCAGCTTCACTATACATGAGGGCTCTCTCCACATGTCCACTTCCAATATCAGGCAGTGTGCTGGGAAGCAGGTAACACAGGCGGTCACTGATGGCTGATGCAATCGACAGCTCGGGGCTGTGCACATTACTTCGTTTTAGCTCATTTACAAGGCCAGAACACACAGACTTCAGTACCATGTGTGGCAGTTTGATACACACTGATGCCCACTGAAAAATACAAACATAATACCATTAAGAAAACAAGTCAAAATCTGCAAGCAAAGGCTCACAACCACAACTCCTAACTTCAGCCAAAAGTAGAAAATGTGTATCAAACTTTGCAGTGCATCTTTCCTATGAACAAAGAAGCTATTACCCAAATCTGAAAATATTCCATTACATAATTATTGGATGAACAGATTTTATGAGGGACTTTTCCCGATTTTAAGAAATGTATTTTATAATAATTCTCACTTAAAATATCAACAATATAACTTTGCACTACACCTCTCCAATAGATATGGACGGTCATGCCAAAATTTGAAAATAATCCATTTAAATGTGTTCCAGTCATTAGTTGAACAAAAATTCCCTTGATTTGTTTTTAAGTTCAAAATATGTAAGTTGACACAACTCTTTCAAAAATTAGAAATCAAAACCAATCTCTGCACTGCACCTTTCCTTCAGACAAAGAAGCTGTTTTCCAAATTTGAAAACATTTTGACCAAAACCTTTCAAATTACTGGTTAAACTAATAATTTTGATTCTTTGAAGAAAGTCCTCCTTGGGGTACTTATAAGCATTTTTATGTCCATTAAAAATTCTACGACAGTTGTAGCAATATTGTGGAAAAAAATATTTACGAAAAAAAACACTTCTGTCTGTCTCATTCCACCACCCCTGCAGGGCCCCTCATGGGCCCCACAGCCAAGAGAAGGTAACTCTAACCTGGAACCTTGCAACTCACTTTCCATGCTGATCATGATCAGACAGAATGTTGGGGAGGTGGGTGGCCATACCCCAAGGAGGACTCTTTTCAAAGAATCAGCAACCTCTACAGGTTTGTTTGATTCTTGTTCAGAAGAGTTCCTCCTTGGGGTTATACTCCTAAGGAAAGAGAGTGGCAGTCTGTCTGACAACACAAAACCCTATAACAAGTGTAACGCCTCCATCTGTATAAGATTAAGATCGCACTTACCTGGTCACATGAATTCATGTGCCAATCAGGCAAGGGCACGACCCAGGGTCAGGGATCGAGTTCATAAGCATCACATATCACATTTAGCCCTTTCATGATATTTAGCCCTTTCAGCAACAATCCTGTGTAAGCCAGGGCTTTTTTATACAATGGTAGCAACTCACACACGTGTGGGTAAAAACACATAAACAAGAGTCATCAGAAGATGACATATTTGAAAGAACAAATCATCTGACAGTTACTTAAACTCCAGCTTTGATTTTTCTTTAGGCTAAGTCCAAATCGTTTCCATGGAAATCATGAAAACTATAAATGACAAAAATCTGTAAATAGCAAAAGGCACCACTTCAAGATCTGCCTCATATATGTTCCAAGTTCTGTTGAAAGATATTGAACAGTTTTCGGTTGTGCTCTGGAAACAAAGCCCACCCCTCACTTTTGAGACTAAGTCCAAATCGTTTCCATGGAAACCGGGGAAAATACAAATGACAAAAGTGGGGGCTAAACTTAAATTTACCACCCATGCGATAAGAAAGTAAGTAACATACATACAGGATTAGAGCCAGAACCACTCTACTTAGGAATTCGCTTGAATCAAGTAATGGAACACACGCACGTCTTCACAGAAGAAGGACAGCATGGAAAGTGAGGTACAAGGAGAGCGCGCCTAGAGTTACCTGTTCTTGGCAGACAGGTCCATTATGGGCTCGATGTTGGTGGTCCAACAAGACGAAAACGTAATTTTTGTTTTGTAAATATTTTATTCAAAATATAGTTACAACTGTCGTAGGAATTTTGAATGGACATTTAAATGCTTTTAAGTACCCCAAGTAGGATCTCTTATGAAAAAGAATTGAAAGAACAAATCACCTGACAGTTACTTTAAGTTCAACTTGATATTTTCAGACTAAGTCCAAATCATTTCCATGGAAATCATGAAAAATATAACTTACATCAGTACTTACAATGAACAGATTCTATTTATTTACATACTGTCACTTTATGACACTTGTGTAAATTGAAAGATATATTTCCTTAGATATATTCTACAGTATTATAAACATGTTTTAAGCTAGTCCAGATATAATAGCTTCCAACCTCCAACTGTAACAGGGAGGCATAATACACTGTACTGTAATAGACTCTGTTTATATTGCTATACCAGTAGTTGAAGATGAATACCATTTAAACTGTCAGTGTTTAAAAAATGCATAAGATAGAATGTTTTCCACCTTACCTATATATTGGTAACCTGTGTAAGATAGTCTTGTTAGACTTGTGTCATCTAAGGATGATGTTTTGATAAGTGTTGCTACTTTTTTCTTTAGAAGGGTATATTATGCCTGTACATTGTGCTAAAATGTTTCATAGCTTTCAGAGGCAAAATTAGAAATGCATAAATATCAGTCAATATTCTACACATTAAGATCTATATGTTATTTCTTAGATATGTTATGCCTATACACTATGCAAATATGTCTGACACTTTATAAAGCAAATTACAACATACTGTCACTTTGACACTTGTGTAAATTGAATGATATATTCTACAGTATTATAAACATGTTTTAAGCTAGTCCAGATATAATAGCTTCCAACCTCCAACTGTAACAGGGAGGCATAATACACTGTACTGTAATAGACTCTGTTTATATTGCTATACCAGTAGTTGAAGATGAATACCATTTAAATTGTCAATGTTTAAAAATGCATCAGATAGAATGTTTTCCCCTTACCTATATATTGGTAACCCGTGTAAAGATAGTCTCGTTAGACTTGTGTCATCTAAGGATGATGTTTTGATAAGTGTTGCTACTTTTTCCTTAGTAGGGTATATTATGCCTGTACATTGTACACAAATGTTTTCACAGCTTTCAGAGGCAATAATGTATGACCTTTACTGGTTTTACCAGCATCAAAACAAAATGTAAAAATATTCTGTAATGTGGGCCATGGCCTTGTATACTGAAAATAAATCTGTCTGTCTGTCTGTCTGTCTGTCTGATTCTATTTAAGGGTCACTCCTGTGTTGTCTTGCTATGTAAAACACACAAAAAGGCACCAAGCACTGGAATTCTTCACAAGCATGCATCGTGCAGGGAGGCAATGAAAGATTAAACTGGTTTGTTTTTTTCAAATATAGGGAATGTGTATGCACTGATCATGTGCTTTGTTCAGGATCACTTTATAGACGGAATACAAAAATTAGCATTGATTTTGAAACGATTTACAGGGTGGAGGTCGATCACAATGGCAATCTTAAAACATCAACATTTCCATTTCATTTTCTTTTATCCCCATTTATTTTGGGATGTTTAACTGTACCAACCTTTGATGTTTTATGGTTTCCTTTCGTGGCCTCGTGGGTAGATTCTATTCCTCTCTCTAACTCTTTTAGAACTTCCTCCACACTGTCCACTCCTGGCAGGTCAGCATTCATCAATGCTTTCAACAACTGTCCAGCCTGGAAAACCAAATATTGAATCAGTTAAGTCAATAGGTCTTATAACAAGGATAATCGTACAAACACTCTTAAAAAATTAGAACCACGTTGCAAATACTTGCAAAAACAGAAGTACCATCATTTCCATTTCTAAGCCAGAGATCAAATAATAATACAAATACAAGCGTATAATCACACATCTCCCCTCTGAAAGGTATGCCGACTACAACCTGATACTTGCCTGATAATGACAGTACCTTGCCTCCTGCTTATGAGAAAACTAACCATCCTACAATTATTGCACCACGCTTCTGATTGAATTAATTTGCCCAATTGTTAATGTCATGTGACACGTAATATCTCGATAAAGTATTGTCATTGTCATAAACTAAGTTGTATTTGTATTGCATTAGGCAGAGACCATATAATAGAGGGACGGCCCTCCCCAACAGTTTATCACTAACCATCAGCGCCACGGCCTGCATGTAACTGATACACATCGACAACCTGCTGTTAACTTCCCTCTACCGGTACACATGCACAACAGATGTGCAGACATTCGCAAATGAACACTGGTAACCACGTAAACAATATTGCGTAATATCGGCGCTGAGAGTTAATTCCCTTAGCGGGATTTCACCGGCTGCGTTTGACAGTTAAATATGGACAGCTCCAATAAACTGATTAAAATAATATTAATTTTTATCTTATCTCTCATTTGCACATGTCAACTGACAACATCCCAGAACATGTGTATCATTCGCGAAATGTGTGTTGTCATAAGCCTGGTATATTTGTCTTAACGAACATTCGTTATTGCCATGGACGGCTTAATTCATTCACTGGGGGATTCCGACTTGGACCTCGAAACTTTACTTGGATAATTTACAGACTACGACCAGGACACGAAATATAAAACAAACAAAAATACAAAATTCAAACTAACCCAGTCAGGTAAGGCAGTTTTAACAATACAGTTGCCAATATCCCCGATGTTCGCTACATGTATGTATCATCACATGGCTAATCTTAAGATTTACCGGTACTTTCAAGTATTTGTTGGCACTGGCTGGTGTTTCACTAAATGATGCTATTAGTCTCTGATTCTAATTTCATATTAATTCGCATAATTTTATGAAGTTGACAGTCGATTGAAACACGATTTCACATTATCCAAGAGCATTATTGAATGTTTTTATAATGCCAGTTTGGGGCTAGCAGTGGTTATGCTTTGAGCCGTACGGAGACATTTGGGTTTTTTCCAAAGGGAAGCTACTCTGAAATACTAAAGCCACGTGGACAAATGTAACAATTTTCACAAACGTCACTTTCCTCCGAGCTCATGAAATATTCGTATTTTGGGCTATACAACATTACCCAATCAATTTTAAAATTTCAGCAAAGTGTCAACTTTACTTGGCAGGAAACTGCAACCAATAACATTAAAACACAACATCACACGTTCTTATATGTACAATGTATTTATTGTAGAATAGGACCATAGATCTATATGTATTACTAAATTCAACCATTTAGATATTCTTTCATTAGAAACACAGTAAATATGAATGTAAACTGTTGTAAATAAACTAAACTGAATTTGAAATTGAGACTAAGACTAAAGAATATACTAATTCATTAAAATAGTAAAACATGATAACTTATAAACTTGGTGCAACACAAACTGCATAGTTATGTTGTCCATTTAGGATTTAGATTGTGAATGAAAAACATAAAATCATACAAATCTGTACACAATCTTAAAATAACTTCATAAACTGATATTCTAAATATCCATGAAGTGAATTATATATTGGATTTTAATTTCCATAATTTCTTCTCATGTAATTTATTACATGTTAATGTTGATCATTTGCAACCCTATGATGGATGCATATCAGTCAGGTTCAACAGTTGGTTAAGATCTGATCTAAATTGCAAAATCCCTCAGTGGAGATTCTGATGTCATAAATGATTTAATAGTTATTGTCACAGAAAAGTTCACCATGTGTTCAAGGGGTTTGGCCATGGGAGCTCATTATCAAATGACCGATAGGTAATTTGGAGCAGGTATCATCAGATGTGCATACAGGAATATTGTATTTCAAGCATGCACACGTATAGAAGAAGTCAGCAGCCATCACATCAGACTTATTCACATCTTCACCCAGTGTTTGCTATACCGCATCATTCAAACGCTCTTTCACTTTCTTTCAGAATCAATGAAGACAGCTGATGAGAAGCAAGTAAACCATATCAGTGAAAATGACCAAGCTGTGCTATTTTACATTTCTAGATATATTGTCCATGGTTTGCTAAAAAGAAGACAGTAAGTGGCCAAAACATCTAGGATTTAATCGATAGCCTCCATACAAGAACAGAGTCCAAAGAAAGCTACATTCGGACATTTTCCAAATGGACATTTGTGGCTTCTTCCGGGCATAGGGTATCTGTGGGCTCATCTCTAGAACTGAAAAAAGGAGATACACAATATTAATATTAAAGAAAAAAATAATATGAAGTGTTCTAAATACTTGTTAAAATTATGCAATAGTTGGTTGCCAATGCTCTTTCAAACAAGGTGTATTTACTTACTCAAGATGGAAATATTGAACTTAATAGTAGGCTCCTTGAGAAGCCCTTCCCACAACTGCCGATGAAAACTTTCTGTTTCCTGGGCATCTACAAAACAAATGATAATTTTATGATATAAATATAATGCTGAATTATGACTTCATTTTTCACTTTTATTGTTGCATAAGACAGGCTGTTGGTACTGTCTAAGCCCAGGTAAACTCATAATCAAACTTCATTAGGAGGAATAATGATACCAGAAAAATATATTAATTGTAGTCATGATAAATAATGTAATTTTCTGAATAAAATTGATATTTTATACTTATCCTGACTCATGCTTATTGCTTGTCTCCCTTTTCTTCCGAATGCTAGTGGAACACTTGAATCCCCTTTTGAAGCTCCCTTAAAAAAAGCGGACGTAAAATCACTCACCAGGAGTCATCTCCCTTCCCCAGGTTTTGGCGTGAAAACGGCGCCACCTGTCACCATGCTCCTCACTCTCTCCGTATTTTACAGCCCGACACACTGATTTACTGGGAAATCCAGAGTGCCTTGAGGGGAGGTTGGGAGGGCTCACCTCATGAGTCAGGGTAAGTATAAAATATCAATTTTATTCAGAAAATTACATATTTTCCTTATCCTGACTCATGCTTATTGCTTGTAGAATCCGATGGAATTGGTGGTGGGTCAAGCCACTTCTGGATTCCTTAGTGATTAATTTAAGTCCTATTTACCCCCCATGGCACTGCTGCTGCTGCTGATCCTTACTTCCATCTTTTTCTGATGAGTTTGGGGGGACCACAACTTGTCAGATCTGCTGAAACATTTCTTCTGCTGATATTATGTGTGGATTTATGCAACTCCATCTCTTGATGCTAGCATCAAGTGGAGAAGCAATCCTTCTTCGTTGTACGAGTAATTCTTTTACAAGTACAGGGTTTATCACTCATGCTGGTCTGTCCTAGACGTGCGCATGGACTCTAAAGCTCTCCAGAACGTTGGCTTTGCAAGTCACGTGATAAAGGGGTGAGATCCTTCTCAGCGCCTTTGTGGAACTGTTAGTTGTGTTACCACAAGAGGTCCAATTGGTGAATTCGGGAGACGTCTTCGGAAACGATGTCTCTGAAGTAGTGGTTGGCAAACACCGTCTTCGACTTCCAAAAGTAGCCTTCCATTATCGTAGATATTGAGCAGTTTCCATGTAAGGCGAGCGTAGATGCTAATGCTCTGACTTCAAGATGATTGTAGGCTCGTGGAGGCTAAAGTCCTGCTGCCTTGTAGGCTCTAAGGATGATTGCTCTCATCCAGAATGATATCGTAGTGCGTGAGATCTCTGTGGGTGTCTCCGTGTGGAACCCACATTGTCGCTGGCCAGTAAGGTGCAATCAAATCAGTTGCAGCTTCTTCGTTTGCTTGATTTTCTGCAACACCTGTGGTATTAGAGTTGGAGGAGGAAACGCCTAAGCGTTTAGTCCTACCCCGGAGATGCTTGGAGCATCTGTTGCCCATGCTTGTGGATCGAGAATCGAAGAGACGAATGTTGGTAGCTGTTTGTTTAATTTTGTTGCAAACAGGTCTATTAGCGGAAATCTATCGTCTGTATGATGTATCTAAAGGCTTCTGGATGTAACATCCATTCCGTCGGGGATGGTTGTGTTAGACGAGATAAGGCGTCTGCTATCACAATCTTGGCTCCAAGAATGTGGCATGCTCTTATGTAGATGTTCAAGTCATCTATTATGCTGAACAGATGAAAGCTGAGGTCTAGTAGATATCTTGACCTTGTTGATCCTTGTTTGTTGATGTAGAACGCCACTGTGTCCGTGTGGATCATCAGTTGTGCATTCCTTAGTATGTTGGACCAGTGTAGTAAGGCCTTTACTACTGCTTTCATCTCAAGCATGTTGATATGCAGATTGCTGCTGACTCAACCATTTCCCTGCTGCCACTTCGTTATCGAGGTGAGCTTCCCAGCCTTGAAGTGATGCATCTACGTAGAGATGAGTGTTGCACTCCACTCTGATAAGTAGATTCCTCCGCAAATATTCGACTTCCGAGTCCACAATAGAAAATATGGTTTCAATCCGTCCGGTAGTCCGAAGGAGTCCAGACTATTAAAACAGGCGTTTACCAACACCTGTAGTGGGCGCAATTGTAGTCTTCCTCTGTGAGTCATGTCTTGTGCTGACGTTAGAAGACTGAGTAGGCTCTGTCAACTTCGTAGTGGTAACGGAGAGAGTAGTGCTTGAGATACCATGACTTGTATCTAGACCCAACGATCCTCTGAGACGACCTTGTCATTCTGTGGTGAGATGAAACATCTTCCCAGAATCTGATCATGTTCTATGTTGTCTTTCAGTGGCATTTAAAAGTTGTACATTGATGTCCAAGATATTTTTATGGATTAAACTTCTTTTTAATTTCTCTCACGACGTTTCAAGACCATTCCAGGTCCCTTCATCAGGTGAACTGGCAGTTAGGACTATGGACGTTTAGGCGTTTCCTCCTCCAACTCTAATACCTCATAGTCCTAACTGCCAGTTCACCTGATGAAGGGACCTGGAATGGTCTCGAAACGTCGTGAGAGAAATTAAAAAGAAGTTTAATCCATAAAAATATCTTGGACATGTCCTATGTTGTAAGTAAGTAGACAGTGGAACCCTTGCCATGTCCGTAAAAGAAGCGAAGCAACGTCCGGATCTGGGACTGCCATCGTTGTGAAGTCTATATATAGTAGACTGGCTGCCGCAAACAAAATTCATCAAACATATGTTGTTGCAATTCACCGGATAAACAGTCTTCAATCTGCTGACAGGGAAGGTCTCTAAATCCCGTAAGACAGTCAAATCACGCTGTACCCTGCTAACTGTAAATGAAGTCGTCCTCCCACGTTGAAATGTTGTTTACAATCTGTAGACAACTTCCTGACACGTGAGCGATGTCCGACTTCTGCGCAGGGCATTGTCTCTCATGGACCAATCAAAATGCAGCATTTTGAATCCTTTCAGATTCCCGCGATGTGACGTCATCGGTGTTGCAGGAAAAAGATCCTTGTAAAATCTTGTGCAGTCATTGATTTCTTCATCAGCACTCGGCCTTGTCCGTAACCTCCCGAGGTTACACGAGTGACCACGTGTATAGAGGGCTGAATGGTAAACGCGCGAAAGATTCCGCCGCGTGATACAGATGTAGGTAGACTGTCTCCCTGGCTGCTGTGACTGTTCCTTCATTCCTGAAGATAATGCAGTCGTCATCTTATACAGATGATCAGTTGAAATTCCATACTTGCTTAACGCTGTTACTTGTAGACTGTATTCATCGATCTTAATGAAGTGTCGTAAAAATAAAACCTTTGTGTTGAATACACAAAGGTTTTTGTAGAGTTGATACTTATAACTTCAGTGTAAGTTCTACCCCGGTAGTCGTTGATGATCTTGTAGTTCACATCAATCTCTGAAGGGTTCCATGTGGAGTAGTGGGAATTCCCTGGCTAGGATGTCGGGGATATGTTAACTGTGGAACTTCATAACCTTACCAAGGTTGCGCAGAAATTCTCTGGTATTATATATCAAGTCGTTATCTCTGATCCGCGACGACGTGAGTGCCTGAAGATCTGCACGCAGGTGAATGATCTGTATATGGACATGAGTCCCTCCTGGATTCTTAAGAAACATCTTTAACCTTCATGAATGTGTAGGTTCTTAGCGTCGAGGAGTGTTTTTCTGCAGTTAATCCCGCTACCCTCTTCTGATGTAGATATATCTTTTTGAAGATCCTGAATCCTTTCTGGAGATCAGTCTGAAGATCTGCCTGAAGACCTGCCTGAAGATCTGCATGATCGAGATGAGGGTCTCGTTGATAGCTCTTGACCTGGCTAGGCCGAAGAAGGTTCGTCTGGTTACTGTGTTTAACTGTGAGACAGGGTCGATAGGTGGAATCGTGAGTGTGTCTATATCATCATTCAACATCAAGTACGAGAGTGGTTCATTGGCCTCCTTAGAGGGTGATGCGAGTTCCAAACCGTTGGCCATCCATGACTTGATTTCAGAGTCGGAAAAAAAATAATTCCGCCGTCATCTTCCGATTTAGCAGTATTATGCTCTGAGGATTGATGTCTCCTAGTGTCTGGAGATCTGTAAAGCGATCTGTATGAAGATCTATGTGGTGATCTGCGTGGTGATCTGTATGGAGACCTGCATGGTGAGCTTCGTGGTGAACCATACGTTCGCGTGAACCTGTGTGTAGGTGAACAGCTCTGTCGAGGGTTGGAGTCTTGTGACGAATCTCTGTGCCTCGCCACGGGTGTAGATTCTCTTCTCCTTGGTAACGAACCCTTGCGTGTAGGTTCAAGACGAATGTCCGCATCTGAGGGAGATGACAATCTGCTTGGGTCGGACTGCCAGACGTCTTGTCCTAGAGGGTCGCGCCGGCGTCACTGGTTTAGGCTCTACGTTGGTAGGACTGCCAGACCTCTCGACTGCCAGCGGACGTTGTAGTCATGCTTGCGTGCTTCGTGGCAGAATGCGCATCTGAGGTAGATAGCGATCTAATGTCAGCACCTGAGGTCAGGTTTGACGCGGTAGGACTCTACGTTGGGTTCGCGTGCAGCGCCTTAGCACCCTTGAGGGTTCTTATCCCGAACGTAGTTTTTGTAGGTTCTACATTGGTATGACTGCCAGATCTTCGATGCGGGGACGCAGGTTGTTGGTTCCCCAACGGATGTGGTGTGCATCTCAGTTGTCCTTCACTCGGGTTCAGTAGCAGACGCCTTCGTCGCAGCTCTCTTCGCGCGTAACGGTTGTTCCATCAGATCCAACATCTGTTGGGTAAATTGCTGCATAAAGGCGCCCGGGTTGAAGGTCTGCATTGTCTGCTGCAGTGACGACGCATCTGAGATGGATGAGGCTTCTCCGAAGGGTGTTGAACCTCTCTGGAGCCGAACGTCTGCGCTGATAGGTTGTCCTGCGTGGTCACGGTAGAAGATGCCTTTGTCTTCTTCTTAGTCGTGATCTCAGGGATGAGGATGGGTGGCTCATCGTAGACATCTAATTCCTCCAGAGGGACGATCTCAGCTGAAAAAGACCTCGTTTTCTGCGTTGCCCCATGTAGAGACTTCGACGAAGTCTTAGCTGCAGCTGACTTCTTCCTCTGGAAAGATGATGCCTTAGTCTTCTTGGACTGCGATGTGGAATTATCAGATGACCTCTTCCTCGAGCCAGAGTTGTCTACGACAGCAACATCCTCCGTTGACGACCCCGGTAGACCACTGGGATGGTGAATCTGCGCAGACACCAACTGCCGGTCCTCTGCAAGCTTAGCAGGTTTAGACATGTCGTGTAAATCTCGTCTGGACCTGTCCTTTGCACGTCTAGACAGATAAAATGAATATTTATAAAATGCAATATCAGACCCGTAAAAACACAACTGACAACGAAGGCCAGATGAACATGTGGGCTTGCAATTAGGACATAGGTTATGTGGATCAACAGCAGACAATCTGTACCTACAACCTGAACAAGATTTCATCAATTGTAAACAATCTGAACAATCACGTAAAAACGTGATAAAACAGAGAAAATTGAGAAATAATTTCAAACAATATTGTAGGTAAATGTTAACTAAAGCCTTATACAGCTAATTTAGAAGAAAGTCCTAAATAATAAAAGGATATAATGCCGTATAGGGGACCAGGCGCTCTTACAACCGCCCACTCGGGCGAATCAGGAGAGAGTGAGGAGCATGGTGACAGGTGGCGCCGTTTTCACGCCAAAACCTGGGGAAGGGAGATGACTCCTGGTGAGTGATTTTACGTCCGCTTTTTTTAAGGGAGCTTCAAAAGGGGATCAAGTGTTCCACTAGCATTCGGAAGAAAAGGGAGACAAGCAACAAGCATGAGTCAGGATAAGGAAAAATAGAACCTTTTCTACAAACGTCATCATCACAATGAACAATAATGGAAATATGTACATTTATTTTCAACCGATTAGGTGAATGAGACTTCTGTAGAATGATTTAAAATATATATTCGGGTCATGTTAAGAAACAAAATGAATGTTATGTCGTCTGCTACAATGTAATTGAAATGTTCAGTATACAAAGCAAATATGGGTTTACGCCAAAAATCATAAAAATAAAATACCGATCGTAGCCATATAAATTTGGTACCAAGCAAAAGAGGAATCGCCGTGAATGTTCACATATTTAATTAAAAAATGCTAGTAGTAAACTATTCTTGTGAAAGCGTGTGAAAATCAAGTGTTGTGGAGTAAATATTTCAGAAAACATCATGTTTCGTCGCATTGCAGGAGTCAAAATAAGGAATTACGAGACGGCCACAGACTTATAAATGCCACTAAACCAATCTTTATCTTATCTGCTTTTTATACAACCCGGTAACTAAGGATTTGTATTGAGAATTAGTAGCCGTTATTGAAAATCAAAATCGGGACTTTAGCTGATTTTACACCTCCGCCATTGTTCTCACAGAACAATGAGCACACATGACAGTATTCATCAAATACAAAGACAAATATATGCTTTAGCTCCCTAATACACTATTGCCAATATAAGTATATACATGAGAATAAATGAAAAAAATATTAAATCTTACCTTTGCAATGAAAATACGCGAAATCGATGACTGAAGTGAACATACGTTTTCGCCAGCTTCCAGATAGGCTGCACAGTACAAGCCATAGAGCTGATGGTTTTGCGCATTGGCTCGAGGGCCGTCCCTCTATTATATGGTCTCTGGTTAAGGTTAGCAAGTTTTGTTTCAACAATAATTAGTTTTCAGGAATGTATGAGTACTATTACTATCTAACAAAACCAGTGTTTCAATATTTTGATGCTTTTCGAGTCATAAGTAATCTGGAATCTTCTTAGCCATAGGCAGCACTGTATAGAACTTTCAATAGTTCAGTGTTACTGTTAGTATGCAAGCATATCCCCCCTCTCATTTTACATTACATAAAGAACATCTGTGGTGTGAACATCACATTTTCGGCTGGATATCCACAAAATTATCTGTAATTGCCTGCTACAGGTTAAAATGTTCATACGTTCATAAATGGTGATGTTAGCATAGCTACTTAAAGATTTTCTGCACAAAAGCAGATTAACAAATACATGTATGTCAGTTGTCACAAGCAGGGATGAGGAGCCTGTATAGTGCATATTAACCCCACATGGTGCAACATACTTTAACACACCTGGGCCCTCATGATAAATAGATTGTATTGATGTTACTGTAACCATGTTTATGTTGAACTGATGACACAGAAATTACAGAAAACTTGATCAACCATTTCCTTCTTCATCAGGTTTGATATGGATAAACAAGAATGTATTTCTATGTACATCATATCCCTTCAGCAAACGAGTGAACATGTATTAACAAACATTGTCAATAAAGGAAAGGAAATCTGAGATAAACCATCACTAAATAATGATTTGCCACTTAAATTATATCTCCTGTTCTGCTAGGCATTGTTATATATGCAGAGAGTGAAATCACCATGTGTATTTTTTCATAAACAATGCCAGAAATAGCAATCAGCTGTGCACACGCTTCCTCCAAATTTCCTGGTGATTCAGTAAAAGTGTTAAGTCATGCACAATTAAAAAATACACATGGTAATTTCACTCTCTGCATATATAACAATGCCTAGCAGAACAGGAGATATAATTTAAGTGGCAAATCATTATTTAGTGATGGTTTATCTCAGCTTCCTCCAAATCTCCTGGTGATTCAGTGAAAGTGTTAAGTCATGCACAAGAATCAAATAACCTTTGTTATGTCTACATTAGCCGAGGGCACATTAAATATATTTCATCCAAGCTATTTCAACATTTCCCAAGCCATGGAATGCAAATTAAGCACTATTTCGATCCCTGTATACCTGATAAAATAACTTCAATCAATATTGATGCTATGTTTGGAAGAATATCTGAAACTATTATCTTGTCAGGATTAGTAAACTTAATGTACCTCAACTAGTGGTAATTCACACTTGATAACATCTTCTGAGTGCTTGACTGGGATCTGTAGAGCGGTGTCAAGGAGCAGCACCCCTCTGAGATCCTTCCTGACCCCCAGGGCATGGGCATCCCAAAATACAGTTTTCTCTTTTTCTGACAAGTATACACAGTGCAGGTTTCCATGTTTCTGTCCAACTGCAACAAAGCATACCAAACATTAAAAACACAAAAATATTCATTTATAAATATATGCAACAGAATTAATATGATTACCGGTACTTTATTTTGTCATGCATAAACTGATAAATGTAGAATGAGTGCAATGACGAAAGCATTTAGGGAAGCATTATCCCCAACTGCAAAGCATATTAGAATTATATTAATTCTTATAGTAAAGAATAGTATGGTAGTAATTGTTGACTTTACAAATAGTCACATAAAACCTGGCGAAAATATGAGTACCAGGTTGTTTGAGGTCATCTGAAAAAATGATTAAAAGGGAAACATAAGTTTATAATATGAAAAGTATGCAGGTTTATCAATTACGATAAGAAACAACAGTTGAGAATGAAAGTCTGTGTAGATTTTAACATAAACCATAGAGATGATCATAAAACTTTGTAGATGTTTTACCCAAAAAACATATTGCAATACAAAATGTTTGAAAGGTATATTGCAATATAAAAAATATAATGGTAATACTGTGCAGTCCTTGTAGGGCTGTGCAATATTACCAGTAAACCGGTACAGTATCTTGCAATACTAATATCACGATATGGTTCAGATTCTGCAATATATTGGGTCATCCAGAGTCAGCTCCCTTTGAATTATCTGCCCTTGAATTCCATAGCAACAAAATGTGCTCTAAAAGTGACAAATATACTTTTATTTCTGTTGGTTTCATGTAACATTGTACAAGTGAAAGTATCTTTATCAGAGGCTCCAAAAGTGCCAAATATTCTACCAAATTCTTTAAGTGTTGTGGGTTTGAATGGTTTCATAATCATATGTGACATTTTGGAGGAATTAAGTGGCCTCAAACAGACCAATTTTTTATTTGGACTTATTGGTTGGAGGCGCAAACGCCCCCGACCTTTTAATCAGGCTGAATGTAGCTCTCAGGTGCATTTTCTCTCTACAATATACATTTAAAATGTCAATGATACTGTAGTCTCTTTGTATTTTGGCAATTCCAAATGACCAATGAACATAGCTGTAGCAACGTGGGAGCCATGTGACCATGTGGGTAATCCGAAATAATTGTCATATTTTATTTCTTAGTTAATGCAGAAATCGAGTTTTCTATAAATCTCTAATGTAAACACATTCTGTGTTTTTACTGATCAAAAACGTTAATAAACTGATACACTTTCAATTCAAAACAATTTTACACATAACAGAGCACACTTGTACTAGTTACCTGCATAATTTTGAATTGCAGAATCAGAAAATCCATTCCATTTCAGTAGCACCCATTAGCTTTTCCTGTAAGTTAGTGAAGGGTCAACTGGTTTCCTAGAATTGGTTCGAGAGGCATGTTCGGGAACATTACTGAGTGCTCAGCGTACATGTTATACCGTCTTAGTAATCACTGTGCGAACCCATGCATGCTTATAGACACTGACCCGGCAGTGGCACTATATAGGACAATGTTTCCTCTGTCCATCACAAGTACTCCATTTCCAGACATGGTTAGACATGACAAAGACCTTTGATATGAAATATCATATACTGGAGATGAGAGTACCGTATTTTGATGTGACTACCGATCTCTAATAGATGCAGCTCTCTAACAGACGGAGGTATGGTCATCGTGATGCTCTTGAAATCAGCTTCAGCCCTCAAATCATCTCACGTCCTAAATTTCTTAATTTAGTCAGGTGCCTCCAATGTTGCCTTTTAAAATGCTTTTCTTTTTAGTAGAGCCTCTGGCTCTGAGTGACCATTTGACAATTCTCATTATTTTGTTACTTTTGTTTGTTTCATAATTGGACATATGTTATCAATTTACCATAAAGGTCTAAGTTGTACAAATTTTGAAGGACTGTATAATGACATTCTAGTCAAGGATCTTAGTTATTGGAGGTTACATGAGATTTTAAGCTCAAGTAGTTACATAAATCATGTTTTTGTTTCATTCTGCAATAGTTCATGTTAACGCATGTTTATATTGGAGTTGAATCTGAATGACTCTCTGACATACAGTAACAATAATTACATACTGCAATGAAGACATTTGAAGTGCATTTGAAGCAAACAACACTGACCATGGAAATCATGTTAAACTATTACCTTTATCATTATGTTCGCAAAACGATTTTGCAATATTTCAGTAAAACATTCCACATTAAGGCTCCATATCATTTTATTTGTCTGTAAACCATTGGCATACAACAATCCACAATGGGGACGGAGAGTTTGAAAGTATGCTGTAACAGCAACTAAGAATATGATGTCGCACACAAAGAGCTACTATGAATTAATGAAGTACGCACTTGGGCAGAAACATCCCAGTCAATATATCACAATACATATTGCAATATCTCTTAGTCTTAAATTATTGCAATATATCACAACATGAGAATCAGGGCAATATCCAGCCCCAAGTCCTAGTAACTCTGAAAATAAATAATAAATGGCATTTTTAAAACTTCATAAGTAGTGATAAGCTTGCAAAGTTTACTGCAGTAACTTCAGTAGTTGCTTAGAAAACTTTTCCTCATTGCAGACAAGATGCACTAAAATAACAACGATGAAGTGCCATAACTCTAAAAACTAATATTTCAGGCAACCAATATTGTACCTATGGCATACCACTGCCCTTTTCTGAATTTCAACCCAAAAAAATAAATGACAACACATAAAAAAGTTATGTATTTTTTAATAATTGACAGATCATAATAAATTGTTCAAATTTGGCAAAAGTCACTGTCACTGACCAAGGTCCATCATGGTACACATGAACAATCGAATGTAAAGGTGAAAGTCATCCATTCAATATCTTGTTTGGCCCATATCAGTGCCCCAAACTGCCTAGCATGGCCTCATGGAACCAATCGATTATGAATTGTGACCTGGGGGAATGTTCACACACTCTATCTACAGTGCTTGTGCCAACTGTTGGAGGTTATGTGGCTGTTGCTGACGTGATTGCAGACATTGATCAAAAGCATCCTATAATTGTTCGATGGTATTTAGATCTGGAGACTCAAGGGCCATGGCAAAACCTGGATGTTGTGCTTCCTCAAAAAGGCTGTTGCCAGACTCGCTGTGAGAGGAAGGTGTTGGCATGTTGAAAAATGGTGTTTGCTGGATGCATAATGGGAAGGACATGTGGCCAAAGAATTTCATCTGTGCAACACTGTGCCAATAAATTGTACTAAGTCTGTTCTACTGATATTGGAGATGGTGGCCAACATTATTACACTCTCACCACTAAACTTGCCCACTTCCTGAATAGTTTCGAGAGTAACTCTCCCCCCATGACATCTGTAAACACAACATTTTCTATTTGGATGCTGTCACAAAGAATGTGACTTGTCACTAAACCAAACATATCTTCATCGCTGTTGTGGCCACACTCTGTGTCCTTCATATTATTGACATCGAAACCCAAAATCCTGATGATTCAGAACGATGCTCAAACTGGTAGTCTCAGTTGAAGGTTCCTCACTGTCTGAGCTGAAATCCTACACAATCCTGCTGGAATTGCTGTAGCTGTAGAAGTGGCCATGGTGAGTCTATCATGTGAGTGACGAATCTGTATGAATCTCTCCTGCACTGCAGTTGTCAACCATATCTGGGGAGGTCATGTACTGACCCATGCGTCTGATAATGGTTCCATGGTCATCTTCTGTTGCTTAGCGATACGTGGAAAAAACTGGCTACAGCTGAAGCAGTCAGACAATGTCATTTTCGAATTGAGCTTTTGTCAGTCGTGGTATTTTATCCACTCGCTGTACAATTGTGATGACAGACAAATGAAAACCCCTCATTTTCCTAGCCAAAAAAGTCATGTTTCGCATTCATTTCATGTTGGTGTGGCCACCATGCTCTCAAATGGTTGTGTTGTTGCATTTCCCCTACTTTTTACCCGTACCTCATTCAACCCGCACAAATTACTCCCAAACACATGAAGCCTTTAAAAAATCATATTTGGTATTTACTTTGTATAAATATCAGCAAAACTCTATCAGATAATTCCAATTTTCCTACTTCTGCTTTCTTTTCTTTTGCAGAGTATATGTATGGTTACTGAGCAAATGTTTACTGTACATTTCAGGAGAAAACATCAACTATATCAGTACACTGGTAATATACTAACTGAAAAAAGTAACTGTGCATAACATAAAATTGCATGAGATAAAAGCCATATGAACATAATAATCAAAATAACCCTAAATAAACATGCAGCAAAGCACTTTGCATGAAATTTGATGTAGAAAACTTACTCACTTTTTACATGTTTTTTAACACCTGAAGTTAACACACCTGATATTGAAAACTGAAGAACGTTTGATTATTCTCTAGCTTCTATATGTTGTGGAAAACACGTTCATTTCAGTGTTTCCGTGCCCTAGGTATCATGGAGACTAGTAGGCCCAAAATGAAGTGGCCAGACATTTTGGTGTCCATTGAAACAAGATCTCATCTCCATGGAGACGTTTTCAACATAATGGGAACACGAGAGATTTGCCTCATCTAAGGAATCAATTCAAGACTGCCAGTTTGAATGCTCAGGCCATTCCTGGGTTATGTCCAATCAGTTCCAGGACTGTATGGAAATGAGGGAGCACTACAATCTGGTTCTGACAGCCTGCAACACGTCCAATTTTGCTCCATCACCAACAATATCGACAGTTTGGTGGCATAGGAGGCATCACATCTCATGGTCAGACTCAACTTGTCATTGTCAATGGCAATCTGACAGGTCTGCGATACTGGGATGAGATCATTGGGCCTCATGTGCAGCCGTTCATTCAAGGACAGAGACGTAACTTCACGCTTCAGCAAGAACACTCCGGTACTCCCCTGGCCAGCTGTTTCTCTGGACCTGTCCCCAATCAAGCACATTGGGATGAAATGGAGCGACATTTGTGTCAAGCCCAGAATAAGCCAATGATGTTAGCTGAATTGGGACAAGCGTTGGAACACCATTCCCCAAGCTTTCTTCAATCGCTTAAGAGTAGTCTATGCATCATCGTTGTCAAAACTGCATTAACACCACAAAGGTGGACACACACAATACTGAATTTGTGAACTGATTTTTGACACCACATCTCTTCAAGGGCGTGTCACGATGCCTAGAGACAAATACAGATTTCGATATAATCCTGTCAACAGTTAAACAGTGATTAAGGAAAACACCACAAATCATGTTATTACCTTTTTTCATTAAAAACTGGCATAACATCAAATAATGCACAGTTACTTTATTCCAGTAGTATATCTTTTGATAGGATAGATCATTAACACACGAAGTGAGATATCATTGGTTGATAAACCAAATAGACTTGGTTGTAAAGATAGAGAACAGATCAACAGGGTAGCTTGTTAACAGATCTGTTCCTTTTAACTGATCCTTGGCCAATGATATATCTCCAAATATTAAGAGCAGGCTTACAAATTAAAGTACAGTGACTGGTTAATATCAGACCAGAATATTCTGTCACACAGAGACCGAACCCCCTGAAAAGCGCTCGCACACGCACGCATGCTCACACTTGGATCCGCCAATGGACAACGCCTGCCATATTTCAATGGTTAGTGTTGTCATGTGAAAGGCACAATGTCACACATTTTCGACAATATTTTGGCCTACATTATATATATTGGGGCATATCCACTCACTTTGGCTTCCTATTTGATGCAATAAAAGACTTAATATTCCTTACGACTTGCCTGAAATCGATAATTGAAACTTCAACAGCTTCCAAACAGAGAACACTTGCCATATATGGAATGTAAACAATTGCTCCGTGCATCGAAAACTGTCGCACAGGGTGTTGTCGGTGTTTGCCGAACTGGTTTCAATCATCACAAGTTGTGCGTTGGATAGTCATAAAGAGTGCTCCAAGGGACATAACTCTATGGGGTTCGCAACATTGCATTAATTCATTTGAACTTTTTAATTTAATATTGTAATCTAAATACATAATTATTTTTGGAATAAGATATATATGGTAGCTTCCCTGAGGGCTGATAGTTAGTATTATTGAGAGAAATGCGTTATTTGTTTTTAGATGTGTGGTGTGATACTGTGCTTTTAAGGTTATACCCATTGACAATACACAAGGCAAGATAAACCATGTTCAAACAAATAAGGAAAACGTCAGACTAAAAGAGAATGGAAATGCATAAATTTGTTTTATTATACGTACTAGGACACCACCCGTACACTACAAGATAAATACAATATTAGAACGAATAGTTAATTAGACCTGAAAGTGGCACGACTGGGTATCAGCTGGTTTCGAACAGGATATATAACCTTACGAAACACTGCTGCTGCAACAACCCTTGAACAGTCATTTGGGTAGACAAGGCAATACTGATACTTTCGCGTATTGTACTTCTATACACAGGACATATATATCCCGAGTTGTTTATATGGAACACTCGAGTCATACAAAACGTTCTAACAACAATTCACAACGCATTATTAGACTTATGCCTGTGCACAGAAATGGGCCTGTAGCAGGCGTTACTAAAACCTTACCCGATAGGTCAGATTTTTGTAAGACTATCCCTGATGTTGCATCCAATATCTTCAAAGATGGTTCTTTTGTAGTTAAAATGATGGAATTAAGAGACGAATGATACGTTACACCTGTAACTGTTTCCCCAACGGATAAACATCCGTCTTCCCCGACGAACCACTGCTTGTCAGTGGCCGCCATGCTACCATCTAAACTCTCGTCCTCAAAATGACATCACGACTAATTTCGGAACTTCATTTTTTCCGCTATTATTAACGCTTGGTTATCCCTTTGTTAAATTTAATAGTGCATGTACATTTATAGTATAAACACACACGTTTTCAAGTAAAAACATCACTTTATGGGCATCAGTTTACAGGTGACGTCACGTGATGGTTTCGAATGATGTTACCCACAATACAAATGCTTGCAAGTAAGAGCGACAAAAAAATCTTTAAATATTCATAAGACGAATCTATCCCTTTACGCACTTTGGGCTGACATATCCCCAGAAATACACAGTTATAGTGTTTAACATCTAGAAATCTCTGAGAAAAAAGACCAGTACACGAATGCGGACTATTCAGTTCCTTAGTGTACACAAAGACCATATAATAGATTATATGGTCTCTGGTGTACAGTACAATATGACCAATGCACGAGTTTCAGAGAAGACCATATCATGAAATTATTGTTTGGTGTCTGGTGTAATCTAATATTGGGTACTTAGGTACCCTGTTCTTAGAGATACTGAACAATAAACAAAATCCGAACATTACGATATCGAACCTCCCCTCGGCTCCGCCAATCCAAACCATTAACTGCAATGTGGTCTTCAGTCGTTTTCGGAGGGGGGGGAGGGGGGGGCTCCCTCCCACCCCCGATCGGCCAATGGAGTCACTGTGTCTTTCTTACGTAACTCATCGCGCTAAAAACGACCCAACTTCAAAACAAACGGAACTGTCTATTTGGTCATAATACATACGTGCTTATGAATACGCCAGCGCTCACGGGCAAATTCTGGTACACGCCAGTTTTTAGCCACAGAAAGATGATAGCCTACATACTTCAAAAGATGATTCAAGGTATTTGATTGTTTGGGTGTTTTTTAAAGAACCAAGAAAACAAGGGACACGTTGGGGAGGTCATAAAACAAATATGATAGGCTTTAGAGAAGGGCCATTATTAATAGCACATTAGTGCATTAACAGCCTGTGAAATCTCCTCTACTTTGTTTTTCGGTCAGAACAACACTTGGCAGCTAGCTAATTCTGCGTGTAGGACGGGACACGAAATGTTATAACGCAGACGAGGTTGTAAGGAAATATGTATCTAATCCAAGTCACGTGATGTTGCGGTTGCCTGTCTGCAAGACTGGTACCCTTGCCCTTCAACGCCAGGCGACTGCCCAAAGCCGTGTGGCGAATAGCGGAGGCGCTCTAAATCGGGCACACCAGTCTAATCTGTCTGCTTAGACTGGTACAGCGTCCTAATTGCTCTGCAAAAGCACTGCTTTAAAATAGACAAAGATATATTGGCATTCGTCACCACTCGCCCTTTCCGTAAAATCGTGTTGTTGATGATGACTTTAATAAGTGTGTTGATGATGACTTTAATAAGTGGGGGTGGGGGTGGGGTGGGGGTGTTCCATCAATTTTGTGAAAATCAACTGGGGTGTGCAGCACTCTTGTACAGAAGAATATTAAATGATTATGCTTAAGAAATATGGGAAGAGGGAGGTGGGTCATTGATTTTGTACATGGCATGCAGGGGGGTCACTTATTTTGTGCATAATCTTTAGGGGGGTGGGGGGGAGTCACATTGTACATGCTTCTCCATAGTTCATCATTATCATCACACACACACACACACACCACCACCACCCCCATCCCCTCTAATGATGGCGAAGGCTTACATTGACGTTAGAATTGGCAAGACAGCGGACCGTGACGCGTGCTGTATGAGAAGTTATCATGCTGGAACAACTCCCTCTGTCGGCCCATGAACGGAGCATGTGACGTGCAACTTCGTTGATGTACCGATTTGCTGTCAAATTCCCCAGATCCACCATTAAATCAGACCGTTGTGTGCTGTATATTACACCCCATACCATGACACTTTCTCCACCGAACCTGTCGAATGCAATTAAGGGCAAAACGTTTTCTCCGACGGTAAATACGCTGTCTTCCATCTCGCCGGTGAAGAAGAAACCGTGATTCATTACTGAACCTGACTAGCCTTCAGTTTCTAAGGTTCCAGTTCCGGATTGTACGACACCACCGCAAGCGATTGCGTCGACGGAAGTCTCTCAAAACAGGGGCGACAACTGCCCTTCTTGGTCGAATTCCCGCTTCACGCAATCGATTCCTGACAGTTTGTTCGGAAATTCTTCTCAAACCAGGGATGCGTTGTGAAGTTTCCACGGCTGTGGCAAGACGATGACACAAGTTAGCAACCCGGATATAGCGGTCCTGGGTGATCTTGGGCGGAATTGGTTTGCAGGAAACGACCCCAAAGGCGAGATATGGTGCTCTGATGAACGTTGAAATGTCGGGCAACTGCAGACTGCGACTCCCCAGCTTCAAGGCGGCCTATGGCGATGTTTCGATTGGTGCCACTCAGTCGTGGCATGATGATTTCCTCTTTTCCAGGCAAAAACGAATGACAAAATTAAACACAACGTTTGCCTTTTCATAGTGATCGATACCGCATGCTTTTCCGCTTTCTTGAACATGTTGAACGCGCATTTTGCTTTGCATGTTTTCTTGGTGACGTTTTTGCGAATATTTCTTCGAACGCTTGTAAAACAAGCGGGAAAGTTCAAAACTGCCGCGTCTTGGCGCTGAATCAGTTTACAGTCACACAAAGATGACGTTTTGGAAAGAAATAGTATACTTGTATTTTTGTCGCCGCTACACGAGTCCAATATTCTCAGAATCACCTCTGCGTTTCCTTTTTTTGAAGAGTGTATTTAACTCTCGTTGTTTCAAACATTGCTGTAAACTATTTCATATATCAGACTATCGTTTGCCTAAAGAAAGCCTTCAGCGTGATTGTACATCTTGATAATCTTAGTAATAACACTTGGACATCATATGTCCGAACATTACTGCATAGATGTGACTTTGGCTATAGTCGGTTATTGCATACAGTTGGCAATGTAATATTTTTGTCAGACAGTATATAACTATTTATGAAAATTCAAGATATGATTCCTATCGTCAGTTTAAGTCTTTGCTTGAACCATTCTTATTTAGAGAAATTACAAAGAAGTTTAATCCATAAAAATATCTTGGACATCAATGTACAACTTCTAAATGCCACTGAAAGACATCATTCTTATTTAGTTGCTAACGTAAGTTACAGGGATCTTCTTAATGTTTTTATGCGTTTTAGATTACAGGTAGGTCTTAATGATTTAGTGAGTGAGTGAGTTAAGTCGCATCGGTATTATTTCAGCCATATAGCGACGAGACAGGTAATTTACAATGAGAAAACATCATAACACAATATTTGATAACAGTGAATTTGTCATTCACATACATCATTCCAATCTATGATACATACCAATTTCTCTTGATTAGTTAATAATACGATGTGCACTCACGCGGGTAATTAGATCTTTCAGATTTACCGTGAATTCTTTGTAAATGAAAAGTCCACATGCAGTCAAGCAGATTATGAAAAGCTACACTCTCCTCTGTTTTAAGTAGATAGTCATGAATGAGCCGACTGTGGCCAAAAGGACATTGTCGTAAAATGACCTCACCATGACTTCCATGGCAACCCAAGTAGATATAACCCATTGTTGGTTTCAATCCGCGAAGTATATTTCTCCCTGCCTTGGTTTCCCACCTTTTTTGCATAAGGTCCCAGGGTGGTACTTTTAATAGTGGGTTTGAAATCACTATACGGGACTAACAGTGAAGATAACGGTTTGTGAAGAGCTGTCTCAGCTGCAGCATCGACTTATTTGTCACCTGACCTGGCAACCAGCAGAGGACGATGTCACATTGCATGGCCAGTAGAAACATCGTTGTAAAGTTAAATAATGCCAAGGGTAATAGGGTGATTCGAGGAGACACTTTGAAGTCAATGAAAGCAAGAAAATGAATTTGAAAAGATGCTAATTTATTTGAGTGCTTTTGTTGTTTAATGTAGGTAAAACAGTGAAGATTGAAAAATTGTCTGGGATTCTTGAGGAGACCTAATTCTTGGATCCATTGACTGTGGCACTGGCAACTGTGCCATCATCATTGGATCCGTCTTTAAGATTGGATCACCGGGTGTCATATTTGGAGGTAAGTAGTTGCATTCCTGTGGAAAAACCAAAGGATTTGTTTCTGATTTGTCGGAAGTAGGTACGATGATACGATATTGAGATCAATTTGGCTGCACAGATGTGTGGTTGAATTCTGATTCTAAGTGGTGGAACTTGACATGTCAGTGACATACGAAACAGGTATTCGCATAGACGGTTGAAAACACACCTTAATGCTGTTTGATTGATTTGAACGCAATTTAGTGATGACTGTAGTGACATTTGTATGCAGCGTTGTTCTCGGGAAGGTTCATCAGTCTCCACGTGGAGACTATCTAAAATCTCCAAGACGAATCCTAAGGCCTTGGTGGTGGATAGAATCTATTTTTTTCTAAATTGCCTTTGGATGCTCCACAATAGACAATGGGCGATAATCCAGTTTAGAGGGAAATAATGACCTGCACAAGTAAAGGATGAGTGTCAGAATCTATCCCCACTCATTATTTGAAACGATTTTCAGACACTTTGCCTTCAACTATTTGGAGTTGGTAAGAAAGTTAAGAGACGGTCAAGTATAAGTCCCGGGAATTTGACCTTTCTACTACATTGGTAAACACTGGATCCTTGTGCAATTTGTATTAACAACAAAAGTGAATACGATTTGTTTTGGATTTTTATTGGCTCATTTTCAACTTTTGTTAAAGGTCACATGCAACCAAAAAATCAAACATAATTAAAACACAATTATCACTTATTCATGACATATAATATGCATGGTTGATTATGAAAAAACAAATAAACAAAATTATAAGCGTATAATCGCAAATCAAAAGTGCAATATTTTGTACTTGGGTTTACCTCCCTCGAAACGAAGCAGCTGGGATACCGAACCCAGTCAGAGCGGGTGGGTGTGCACTCAAGTGTAACGGCTGGTTCATTAGCAGATGCCTCCTTCACGGCTCATTGTGTGTGTATATATAGAGATGTTGGGTTTTGTAAATACATGCTCATTTTTTGTGTATAACATTTTGCAATCAACAGACATCATAACATGTCATGTGTTCAAGTATCACACCTGCCTGTCTGTGTAATTACATAATGTGACTGAGACCGAACTCGGGCCAAAAATCAATGCGTTTTGTTTATGGTGTATAGCCTGATTGGTGTTAAGTTCAAATTGCATGTGGTCAGTGATCGCAGTTGTGTATTGAATATTGTCATTAGCAGACAGGCAGGCAGACACACACACAGGGGCTTGTATTGCTGAAAATAATACGTCCTGGGTCCTACAAGCGTACACTGATATCCATATACATATAAAGAAGGAAAGGGATGTAACGCACACAAACTTGTCAGACACCCCCCTCTCGTAAATGGGCGAAATCTGGGTGGGAAATTGTGAAATACACAGCCGGGATTCTTACTGAAATAAAGCCAGATGAATTCCCTTTCGATTAAATTCAAAATTATCAAAATCGGTGCACTATTGACCGAGTAACTTTGCTTGGAACTCGGGAAAAGACAACTTTTTCATTTGTACGTCAAAAAACCTGCCTACGAAAATCATCGCCTCTCGGCGAAGAAATACTAAGTATTTCAATGGAAAACACGCAATCGGCGAAAAGACATAACCTTTTCGTAATCGCTAGATATTCCGCTTTCGCATTACAACATCTCAAATGAAATGAGTTACTGATTTTACCTGCCATGCACGACTTTATTGGAAAATTAGCGGTATCGAGGGATCGAGGCCACCATGTTTGTCCTTCACCTTCAATAGACTCGCACCAACGACGAGCTACTCTATTTAGGAAATAAAGTTCGCTCTACCCCAATGTGTTTTGTAATAAAGTATAGTTTTGCCCTTAACTATTATAATTAAAGCACGATGACGAAAAAAAAACTTTGGAACACCTTTAGAATACAGCACCACAACTTCTCGTGAGGACGATCTCTGCCGTAGGTCACGTGTCATTAAGACAAGCAACCAGTTTGTGAGAACCCGTCGGACGCAAACCCGCGACCTTCGGATTGTTAGCTCGACAGCTAACCGACTGAGCTACGTCCACACTGTTGCACACTGTGCAAATTTATCGAGTCATTCCTGTGACGTCACGGAAATGAACGGAAAGAGTCGAATAGGTCACGGACAATTACGAATGCTACGGGTAGACTTGGTGTCATGCGATTTTATTCTACGGACAGTTGCCGAATGGATCCGATGCCATTTGGCACACTCGTCCCATTCCGTAATCTACAAATTAACGTGTGGCGTGGAATGAGCCGATATGTCTCAAACGGAAAAGGGTTGTTGACGTCAGGCGTCAGACGTAGATTTCACGGTGTATGCATGAATGACGCGCTTTTATATAAATCTGTGATTTTGTGACAGAAAAGTGATGTAGGGAACACTGTAAGGATAATGTGGATCGCAATAAGGAACGAGGGAGACATGAGCATGTGTAGTGACGGCACGAGGGTGAGTTAGCCTTCGAATCATTACTTTACAAAATTTATGTTGCGTGTGAAAGAGGCTTCAGTGCAAATTCCAGGCCAATTTCCATTAGCCCAAAATTTCTACATTAACCCATTTCATAATGTACTTTCGACGTTTTTGGTTTCCCGTTTTTGTGTGAAAAAAAAGTATTAAAATGCAAAAAAGAAAAACAACAAATGGTACTCACGTATTACACCGGACATGTACCTACTATATTGGATTAGGTCCCTAACCCTAACCCTAAACCCTCAGCCCTAACCCTAACCCTAACCCCTTGAAATAATCCTAATAAATAGAATGCATTGACCGAACCACCGGACATGTACCTACTATATTGCATTAGGTCCCCAACCCCAACCCTAACCCTAAACCCTAAACCCTAATCCTAGCCCTAGACCCAGCCCTAGCCCTAACCCTAACCCTAATCCCTTGAATTACTCCTAATAAATAGAATGCATTGACAGAACCGGCACAAACACGACTGGCGTGTCTAGTGTAATGCATTATTACCGCTTCGAAATAAAAAATACTAATAAAACACTTTTCTGTGTAATGGTGCAACTTACTGAATGACAAAAATATATATGTAAATTTAAAAAATTACAAAATACAAAATACACAACACTTAACACCCCAGCAGCCCGTAATACAAATAAATATGAGCGGATTAGTGAAAAGAAAAATATTTCAAACTGGTGCTTGCAAAATATTGCGCATCCGCCGGTATACAACTACTGGAAACTCTCAACATCGTTGGCCTTATGCAATGACATAGCTCGTAGAGATGAAACACCAGTGAGCGGAGCTTATACGCACTCGCTGAGCCAGACAACCGTGTTGCCATGCAGGCGTCATAGGGCATTGTTTCGAGATCGTGCTTTCGAACAAAATCACATTACATTACGTAAAAGGGTATTATGACGTATTTTTAAAGTTTGTGGTGCTGTATTCTAAAGGTAGGCCAAAGTTACTCGGTCAATAGTGCACCGATTTTGATAATTTTGAATTTAATCGAAAGGGAATTCATCTGGCTTTATTTCAGTAAGAATCCCGGCTGTGTATTTCACAATTTCCCACCCAGATTTCGCCCATTTACGAGAGGGGGGTGTCTGACAAGTTTGTGTGCGTTACATCCCTTTCCTTCTTTATATGTATATGGATATCAGTGTACGCTTGTAGGACCCAGCACGTATTATTTTCAGCAATACAAGCCCCTGTGTCTATATCACAGTTAGAAATTGTGTCAACGCTAAATAATGACATTGCTTTTAAGTATCGAACTGAGAAAGTGACTCGGTAAGAAGAACGTGTGGTGAAATAGACAAATGAAATTATATAAACAGTTTATTTACTGTCATAACATATAAAAAGCTCGCGCCTGTGAGATATCAACAAAACATTAGGAAAATAGCTCACACCAAAGCCTTCACCGAGTATTCACTGGACAACCCGCTTCCAAGTTGCGCGAACCTATTTCACTGCGCACGTGCTATGAGCGCAGCCCACCTGTTGAAACCCGTATTCCCCGAAAAGTCTGGGGAAAATTAGTGAAACGTTTGAACTCCGATTTCGCGCGTTTTTTTTCATCGCGTTATTTTTCAACTTTATAAGTTGAATTTGCATTTTTGACGCTTTGTTTCAGTAAGTCCATACCGAAAGGTATCAGAATCTGCAAAGTTGTGTTTTACGTTGCATGTGACCTTTAAGGCAGACTTGTAGATCATGATGCCTCTCTATGGCATGCATATTCTCACACACACACACACACACACCCCTCACACACACACACACACACACACACACACTCTCTCTCTCTCTCTCTCTCTCTCTCTCTCTCTCTCTCTCTCTCTCTCTCTCTCACACACACACACACACACACACACACACACACACATTGTCAGCGACCCGGGAAGAGAAAATCATAAAACCATTTTGTAAGTCCCGCCGAACCCGAACAAGTAGTCGTTATCTGATTGGTTAAATCCGTTCGGTCGTCTCGCGTTTGATTGGACTGTCATAGGTCGCTCAAAGACTCACAAGTATTCCAAACTTTAGCAATACTGTTAATTTTTATGCTAGAAAGTCTAATAGATGGGATGTTTGAGGGATATAATGATTTTGAATTAAATGATCAGACAGGGAGGTGATTTAGTTGTTAATAGATTATCACCATCTTGGAGATGGTGAACACCAGAATTAGATCCTTTGATTTAGTAATCAACCGAGGAAGATATATATATTTTGAAAAAACCCAAGACTGTCCTGAAATTTATCGAAAATGAATTTCACGTAATGTCTGTTTGCCTTGAATATGACAATGTATTAAAAACAACAATTATTTACCAGAATGGTCCTTATCTCATGCCATTGCTAAAATACTCCCCCTCACTGTCAGCTAGGCAAGGAACCTTCAAAACAACACTGAGTTGAACACATGCACAGAGAAAAGGGGACACAGCTCTGAACAGGGTCAAGTTGGCCTTTCTTCTGTAGTTTAATGAAGCTGCTTTTTATGTACAAATGAAATTGCTGACACCTCTAGTACATGTGAAAAAAAAAACCACTACCTCCTCAGAACAGAATGGGTGACCCCCCTTAAAATCAACATCCCCTTCCCCAAAACCATAAATTATGAACGGTCCCGAGCGACAAAAGGGGGTCATTTCAAAATTGTCTTTTGAGCGAAAATTATTATAATTATCTGCTCTGTTGCTGTTAAGTTTGTCGAGAGCACTTTTACTTCACGAATTTCACGTCCATAACTGTATATTTTACTTTTCTTCTTTCTTTTACCCAATGCGGCCAGGCATTAATTATATGTAATCATATATCTTTTAGGCTGGGTCCCGTCTCTCATATCGTTTCAGCGCAGGCACTCGCCTGAACGTAAGCTGGGCCCCGTCTCTCATATCGCAACTCAAGCTCACTGCCCAGAGTTTATTTGTTTTCATTCGATACAGAGGACCAATAAGTTTCATCCAATCGCAGCTTATAGTTAGGGTAACGTGACATTAAACAATATGGTTGGTATGTATCCGCTATTCTGTAAGTGTTCCAATAGGCCGCTTCGTGTTAGGTAAGCTGGGCCCCGTCTCGCATATCGCAATATACGCAAGTTAGCGCGCGCAAAGGGAGCCGAGAACCAGCTTAGATGTTAAGTGGATCCGACCGATCCGAGACCCAGTCTACATCCTATTTTGTGTTGCGCAGCGCAACTAGTGCAGAGTACCAGTGTACCTGTCAGTTCAGAACGACAATACACGTGCAGATGTGATTGGACTTGTAATTCTTATGTAGTTTATTACCTTCGTCAACATTATTCTACGAGATGTCAGAGGGCGGCTATCAAGTTATAACACAGAGTGTTGTCAACGTCAGAGTGACAAGCAACGTAAATACTTTTGGAAGTGAAAGACGTTTCCAGAAAGATCTGACAATCTCTGACTTGAAGGTGCGTTTGTTAGACATAACGTGTATATTTCTAATCTTGGTAACAGTCATCAGGCTGCTTATCCTCGTTAATGGTTCCATCCCTCAGTCTACAGCTATATCTGTTCCAAATTGAAGCTGAGGTCAAACTACGCTGACACACTGGTGGATCCAGAGCATGGGGAAAAGCTTACATGTTGCATTATCTTCGCAGTTCATATCCTCTTCCTGCCCATTTCTTTGCGCAGATATAAAGTTGTTTTCAATGATTTTATCAGTGGAATTGGTCTCTTGTCCTACGTGCAATCAATATGATAATCATGTATTCTGATGAAAAACATATTGTGAAGGATTTTTGTTTTCTGTTTCTGTTTTATGATGAAAGATGTATTTCACAATCTAGTCATTAACAACGTACTGGCTAGCGAACAGTTATCCAACAGTTATCGCTGCGTATCAGCAGGGATAATCTACAACAGGGATAGCTTTGCTTTCTTTACCATTTGTTCTAATTAGCGTGTGCCTCGTCATGCTCCAACGCACGCAGCGGCTTGGTTCGTTCCCAGTGCAACTTCAGCTGCGTTTAAAGAACCACTAAACTTTGTTTTTTGTTACTCTTTTAACCATTACATATGAAAGATTTGTGGTTAGTCTTATGCGGAACACCAAATTTATTCTTTAAAAACTTGTGGTTAATTAATACCGAGCTATTAAAAGTGGCCAAAAGTCGCCTGCTTCCCTCTCGCCCGCCCTAACGAAACCACAGACAGGTTACGTAACTCTGTCGCCAGAGCACTGCAGTGACGTCATATGAGGAACGATTTTCAGTTAGTTGTATAGAAAGTGTGTAGCACGCTCATCATTTTGATGATTTCTCGACATCAACGACGACATGCCGAATCGTTGCTTTTGTCGCCAATTGCTCCTAGGGTCGAGGCGATGGTGTCACCATGCACAGATTTCCACAGGACCCTGCAGTTCGTGCTAAATGGGTTATGTTTGTGAGCGGCGGCGTTGTGGAAGCCTGAAACCATATCTTACTTGTGTTCAGATCGGCTTCACAAAAGTTAAAGAATCAAAACTACTTACTAGGTGTAGTAAAATATGTATATGATTGATGACCATAAAGATTTTCCATGACATAACGATTTCTTCCTCGGAAGTGAGGTTGTGGTCAAAGTAACAATAATATTGTAAGTAGTATTATATTGACACCCACCTCGCTGCCAAGAGAGAAATTGTTATGTTATACGCTATGTCATGCAAAATCCTATTGGCCATCAATAAAATACATATTTTACTACCAGTAGAAAGTAATTTTGATTTTGTAACTCGGTGAAAACAAACCTAAATAGCATTTATCCTCAGACTGGCGGATGTTCCCAACAATGCGCTGCCATTTTTGAAAATCGTAACGTCTGTTAGAATTAATGAGATTATAGTTTGTTTTCATCAAGTTAGAAAATCAAAACTACTTTCTACTGTGAGTTAAATATGTATTGGAATCATAACCAAACGGATTTTGCATGACACAACTTATAACATAGCGATTTCTTCCACGGAAGCGAGGTGGGGGTCGAAGTCACAATACTGCGCGATAAATTTCTTGCTACATTCACATGGTTAATGTCCACTCACCAGTATGTAGATACTAGTCAATGTGCGTCTTTATATTTGGTCTTATAATCCTAATTAGTTTATTATCATACTTGTATGCATTTTGAAACTAAATAAAAAGCAGACGATCTGCTGATACTTATAGTGAATTTATAACAGATCTGTAATATCTAGACATTTTATAGTTTGCCAATGTGAATCATAATTCGCACACACACCCTTGTGTATGTTGTCTGTCTCATTACACTTCACGGCGAAAACAATGATTCTGTTGAATGCTACGACAAATGAATAAAAACAACATGCAAATATTAAAATTAAAACAGATTAAAGTTATAAGAACAATATCAGGCCATTACCTTGTTCGAGGAATGTATCCATCAATATCCACAAAACTGTTCCAAATGAAGTGTCTCTTAACAGTTTGATATACGAAAAAGTGATAAATCTTTTCAGGTATTGGTGTGTAGTCTCATTGGTCACCCAAGATAGCACACCTGGCAACTAATTGCATAATGTCCGCCTTTCTTTAAAAAACAGTAAATTAGTTAGCCAATAATGGGCAATCAATCAATGTATTGCCGGTTAATCCTTTGAAAGAAGGACGTTGTTTTTACGCAGACACCGACACGACAGAGTGTATTCAGTATAGATTAGTAAATCTACATACATAAACACTACCTTTTGACAATTCCGCTGTATAAGATAAAAGTAATTAATCAATCAGCGTGTTATCAGTTAATCCTTTGATCGATGTTTATTATGTTGAATATTTACTCCAGACACAAGAAATGCCAAATGGGAACCTTTGTCGGGTAATCTAAGTGTGTTACCACTAATTATACCTGTTATAAATTCATTAACTGACCAAGTGAATGATGACAAATAACATGTGTAGGTTTATACCACCTAACACGGGTTACAACAAGGGAGTATTAATTGCTGTATTGCATGTGAAAACTTATGGGCCGACACTGTTTTGAGAATACAAACAGATTTTTACTTGACATGATTAAATATCGAGGTAAAAAAAACACAGAAATGGGATCAATTTGGATCAGTCATTATATAAATAGGGCCTAACGACACCAATCGATTTTGACAGAATCGTCTATGAAAACAAGTTGTAACTCGGAAACTAGGCAAAGCAGGAGACAAAATTAAATGACAGTAGATTGTGAGAACATATACCTTTCATTTTCCACAACAATTGTCACGATTTCAGGTTTATACAAGCCTGTAAACAAGATAATTTACCCCCTAAAATGTAGATGAATTCTGCATCGGCCCTCAAAGCTATTCCTCATATGACGTCACAGAGACGCGCCGCTCTGATTGGTTGAAATTTCGTTCGCGGGTGAGAATTGTGCACTGTTGTCAAAAAGGTCGATTTAAGTCAATTAAAGGTCGAAATGAGTAGTTTTAATGACGGGGTTTCATTTATAACGATGCCAGTTAGTGATTTATGTATTTGTACCCCCTAGGGTTTATGTGACCTTTAACAGTAGATACTTCAACCTGTTTATTGTATCAGTCGGAATTTTACAATGAATGAATGAATGAATGAAATAAAGAAAAAGAACAAAAGAAAGAAATACATATGTGAATGAATGAAAGAATAAAGGATACACCACGGCCATCCCTCCCCAAACATGTTAAAGAACGCAAAACTATCGCTTGAACACATGTGTTAACATCAGCTGTCCTTTTTTTAAAAATCTACTTTGAGACATTTTTACACTAGTAATTCATTCAGATATCTTATTGCATGTGTGGAATGGCATGGACATTGACAGAATGTTAACTGACACTGTCACACACCCCTCAAAAACAGAAAGTTTAGAACTATCACAAAGCGTTGTAAACACCTTTCCAGTTTTGTCAAATACTAACATAAACAAGAAAGAAAGAAGTTTAGAACTATAACACACAAGCATCACAAGCATCAATGGCGGATCAGAACAGATCGGTGATATGTCATATTTTTCACACACCTCAAATACACCCTAACAATTGTTTTTAGTTATAAAACTATCACTATTACTTGCAAACACCTTTCAACTAAAGGTATATTTCCTTTCTAAAAATTAAACGAATATGTGAAAGAAGTTTTTAGCGAAAGAATTTAGTCTTTCTTCGCTGTGTACCGAGAAGTGAAGCCAGTGAGCTACAACATGCCGACTTTACTACAAATCTACTGTACTAATACTGACACTAATAACAATTATTTGTCTTAAAATGAAGTGAAAGAATAGGTAACTTATCTTCTACATGTAGGTTTTCAGTTGACACGACTCACAACACTCATCGAATGCAATCAGCTGTTGAAAATAAACCGGGCTCAATCTTAAAAACTACCCTGCCGCCATATTGGCTACACTGGTCACGTGACGAGCAGAGGCTTACGCTAAGGGGCTTTTCGAGGAGTGACCACTCCCATTTATATAGTCTGCCTGGTAACAGTTATCGCAAAGATGTCAGTATCACATGTTCGCAGTTCCGGTCAGTTACAATTTGGGTATTTTTTCCTCACGGTATTTGCCAACTATAAAGGACAGCAAAAGAAAATTCTTCACGGCAATTAACATAAGGGAGAACTTCAAGATAAGGTAATGAACCCTATCAAGATTTTTTAACTTAGTCGGTGTCCCACAACCTATATAAAAGCAAGTTCAAGTTCACAAGTCATTGTTTCATTCCCTGTCAATCTATTGTAAAAGAAACACTCAAATACATACATACATACATACATACATACATACATACATACATACATACATACATACATACATACATACATACATTTGTATAGCGCCGATATCCAGCTCAGCTCAGCTGCTCAAAGGCGCTTTGTTTTTCCCTTGTTCACTGGATGTCAATCTCAACGGCACATCGTATTGTCAATCTCAACTCCGTGGGGAGCATACAACTCTTGCAGCCACTAGGCGCACCGAGTTATTGTGGCATTCCCATCCTAACGAGGTACCCATTCACAGCTGGGTGGACTGGGACACATAGTCACAGTACTTTGTCCAAGTTTACTGCACGTTGCTGTACCCTCAACTGGGTGTTTGCACGTCTTCATGTGGCCACCATCTGGTCATATACCAACGGATTCGTGGGTTCTTTTAAGTGCAAAGGGTTGTGTACTGTACACTAGGTGTTGTGACAACACTGAAAGAGTCTGCACACAAAGTTGACTCCAAGGTTTTTACACCCGGTCACAGGTGGGCTCGATCCCGTCACCTCAAGCTCGCTGGATCACTAGCCTGGCGCTTTAGCCCGTTCGCCCACCAGCACATAGTCACAGAATGAATTATTAGAGGTTACTGTTTGATATATATATAATTTCACTAATGGCATGAGAAATTTCGAATGGCGATAACTGTTACAGTTAGTTGTGAGAAAACATCTATTTGTACTGCCATGATTCCCTTCCGTCGCGTTATATAAAAACATGATCTGCGGCAGTGAACAATGACTGAGTGAGCGAGTTTAGTTTTACGCCGTACTCAGCAATATTCCAGCTATATGACGGCGGTCTGTAAATATTCGAGTCTGGACAAGACAATCCAGTGATCAACAGCATGAACATTGATCTGCGCATTTGGGAACCTATGACATAAGTCAACCAAGTCAGCGAGCCTGATCACCCGATCTCGTTAGTTGCCTCTTACGACAAGCATAGTTGCCTTTTGTGGCAAGCATGGGTTGCTGAAGACCTATTCTACCCCGGATCTTCGGGGTCTGAATAGCTAAATAAGTATCATAATTAATTCTTTTTCATTAATTTAATGAACGTCTGAGTAATTTTGTAAAATATTGCTAAAATATGGCGATAACTGTAGAGTGAATCTTATTATGTGAAAGACCAATAAGGCATCCTCTTTGAAAAACAGCATTTCTCTCATCAAAATTGTCTGATTATTGTCGGTGTAAGTAATGAAGTGTTGTGATATTGTTATGACATGTTTAAATTAATGTAGTTTTCAAAATGTTTTAGTCAGTTATGCACAAGATCCTAAAATAGGTTTGCATCACGTCAGATGTAACGTTTTCCAGATAACCTTTGGCAACATTACTGTCACTATATATTTCTGAGTTCTTAGAGTCTGTTTCCATGAATCTGACTTTAATCACATTCCATATGACCATCTCCCATGAATAGATACAGTTTTGTAGTGAAGAGACCTGTGAAGATCCGGGTTAGAATTGATCTTCAGTAACCCATGCTTGTCATAAAAGGCAACTAGTGGGCTCGGGTGGTCAGGCTTGCTGACTTTGTTGACACATGTCATTGTATCCCAGTTGCGTAGATCAATGCTCATGCTGCTGATCACTGGATTATGTGGTCCAGATTCGATTATTTACAAACCGCAGCCATATAGCTGGAATAGTGCGCAGTAAAACTAAACTCACTCCCTCACTCACTGGTAATGAAGTAGTGACAAGTGTCATCATTTACTAATGTACTGAAATGTGACCATTTATGATTCCCAGAAGGACTTAGTTAAATACGACATACTTCGTGCCTGTTAATGAGGCAATGTTTAAGAACACATGGTGGCAAGGCCAAAGCTGTCTCAGAAGTATTATTCTTTTTGCTATGCAATTATAAAATAAATCTGAGCACTTACACAAAACACTTGCTGGAAGCAAGCTATTACTTGTAACATTTGTTCAGAATTGAGACCCAACTGCAAAATCGGAGGTATGTAGACACACATGATGGAGGAATGTGGTTTGTTGAAACTCTTGATGATACGTTCAATTACAGAAGTTTATACAGTAGACTTTGATCTCAACATTGAATTATTATTACATAGTCAAACTGGATCATGGTAGGTGTTAACAGGCTCAATTGTTACATGTTTGGTGTTGCAAAAGTTTGGATTGACACAGAATCTTTAGGTTCTGTCAGGAAGTCAGAGCTACAGATTTAACGTTTGATTAGCCTCATTCCTGCTAGCAAAGTGAGTTTGTTTGTTACTGATGACAGAACAAGATTGAGCTACTGACGGGAGCATCATCTGGAACTATGAAGCTGTCACTAAATGACAAGGACAACAAGATGGTATGTCAGCTGGACAATGAGGCTGCACTCCTTGGCTCCTACCCTGTGGAAGATAACATGATTATACATGTAAGTCTCATCACATTCTCACTCTTCAATTCTCATGTTTTCAACATCTATACTATCACGTAACTCTATGTATAGTAGTGGTATCTCTGTGCTTTAGTTAAGTGCATATATAGGATCTAACAGCAAATGCAATGTATCTTGACTCATAATATATATATTTCAAGGCAATAAGAATCTTATAGCACTGGATCAACAAGTCTGAAACCTCATGTGGTTCCTATTGAAATATCTATTTGTGGTTATTTCTTCTAACTTCTCTAAGAAAGTGTAATCCCAAATCTAACATATGTTACATTTGACCACTTTCTAAAATGGCATTGTGTATTTCATAGCTTTCGGCCGTGGGAGCCGTGCCAATTAACACTTATCAGAGGGGTACACAAAGTCCGCAGTCTAGACTACCAGTTGTCCCACTTCCATTTTTGACCAAAAGACGTTACAATATGGTACTTGTTGGTCCCTGCCTGGCGCTCGGCATTAATGGGTACAACAAGGACTGGTCAGCTCGGAGTCAGTATAATGTGTCTGAGTGGGGTATTCATGCTTCACTGCGGCATGGTATCTCAGTGGGCTAGCACTATAAAACCAGCTTAAGTCTGGGCTAGTACAAGCAGCCGCACACACACACGCATGCACGTCGTCATGAGCGAAATATTCTCAAGCACGACGTAAAACCCAATTTCACCTCACCTCACCTCACCTCACCTCACCTCACCTCACCTCACCTCACCTCACCTCACCTCACTTCCATTTTTGTGGCTGAGCGGTCTAGGCTTCTGACTTTGTGTGCTGGCGATTAGGTGCCTGACTCTGAGGGTGTGGGTTCGAATCCTGGATGGGACTCAACCCAAAAAGTACTAGAATCTGTACTTTACTAAGAAATTGTAATCCCAGATATAGCATATGTTACATTTGACCACTTTCTAAAATGACATTGTGTATTTCATTTTTGATTGCAGCTTTGCACTTTGATGACAGTGGAAGTTAAATTTCTTATCACATTTTCTTTAAAAATGTCATGAAATGTTGTACTTACCGGTATGTTTTTTTAGAAATGGGGCTTAACACATAGTCCACTTTTTGCAACATTATAAAGTTTGATGTTTATTTGACCTTTAGTAAGTTGACCATACATTGTTGGCACCAATTATACATTATTGAAAATAACATTTATGGCCATCAATGCACTGTGACAAGTCGTTACGTAAGGCTGTCCTCTGTGAGGTGCACTTTATTGATGCAAACAACCTGAGTGGAATATCTACACCTGTCATTGGGCTGTACCATCATTTTAAGACAGCATCCATTTCTTTGTAACTTCACAGGTAGAAGATAAGTCTCTGATACTTGGAGAATATGAAGATGTTTCAAAAGTGAAGAAGTATGAAATGACTGCAGAAGACTATTCAAAGCGATCAGGTGACAATGGTTCATTATTTGACAACATATTCAGTTTCATAACATGATCAGTTAGGGTGTCCATATTTAATTCTGTGTTTCTCATAGCGTGACTGTTCCCAGATTGGGTCGGACAGGCAGGCTTAATAAAAAAGGGAGAAAAAAATACTATTCAATGTTCAAATATGAGTGTATACTCTCCAAATGCATTGGGAATCACGGTAACAACAATAAAGTATCCTTAGATTTACTTCAATATTCCAGAAATATATTTCAGTAAAAAACAATCAAATGAATCCACTTATGGGATTAAAATAGCCATGAATCGCCACTTGAACAGTGATGCAAAATTACAGTCTATTCCTCAAGCCTGTAGTGTTTATTCACATATTGTGTTACATGAGACACTTTACATTTTGAAATCTATTCATTATTGACAGATCGTCATCATTATCTACAACAATGTGTAGATTACAATCATCATCAAAATCATCTTCTGAAAATAATTGTTTTTGTACAGACTATTTGAGTTAAAGCATTGTGAATGGAGCTTTGTACTATCTATTTGTATGGGTTCCATTTCGAGAGGTAATGATATTGTGACTTGCAATCCCTTGCCAGGTACTCATTAAAACTTGACATAACTCGTTGTGAATACTTTGTCCTTCGTGGGTTGTTTGTTAATCTTGGTGTTTTACTCATATTTATTATCAAAATGACTTTCATTGCAAATTATGAAAAAAATGATATCTATGCTATTGCTAGATTTATCAAAGTAAATTATAAAGTTGCAAGATGATATCATGTGTTGATAAGGAAAATTATAGTCTTTGATACCACAAAATACCTGCTGGAGATTGATTGTTATCATTTTCAATGAAATTTAATACATTTTAAACTTGATTTTTATTTTTTCTTGTGGTGAAACATTTTTTGTTCAATGGGCGGTGTTTAATTGAGAATGGTTGGTGCAAATATTGTTTTATTGTATGGGCGGGTGGGATTTTTACTGGCGGCAGGAGATGAGAAACACAGAATTAAATACGGACGCCCTTACTGAAACAATGGTTTGTCACTATTCTCTTTCAGTTAAAAGAATCCTGACATTTAAAAAGTCATAGCAGCCATGGTAGCTGAGTGGGTTTGGCGTCTGACTTTTTCTGCTGGCGATTAGGTGCCTGATTCTGAGAGTGTGGGTTCGAATCCCAGATGGGACTCAACCCAACAAAAGTACTAGAAATCTGTACTTCACTAAGAAAGTGTAATCCCAAATATAACATATGTTGCATTTAAAAAGTCAAATTTTCACCAATTATTGAGTGGATTTTCAATAAATCATTATGAAATTTGACATGCAGTTTATATGCGTTATAATATCTTACATTCAGCAGCCAATGCTCCAACTGGATAATCCATACTTAAACAGCAGCATTTTAGCAGCTGCTGTCAGTTCCTGTAAATACATTTTCACAGTTTTCACTCACGGTTAAATCAGACCAGACACAAGACATGTTTGGAACATCTAGAAGTTTTACCAGACTATCGGGCTGGCTAACTATTAATCTAGACTGTCCGTCAGAAATCTAGCCCATCTCAGGCTGTCGGACGGGCCTTATTTCATACACTGGTTAAATTCAAGCCAATCCCATTGAAACACCAAAGGCTCATACTTAGTTTTAGAGTCTTCATTTGTGGGGCAAGGTAACAAAGTATCGGCTGGTGTTTCTTTTACATAATCTGTTTCTTCATGGGCATTGCATTGTGTATGATTACTGCTTATCAGTGTGCAGAGTATTGAACAGCTATACAACTCTATGCAAAGCCACAGAGGGAGCACTCTAACCATTTTTAACATAGTATTTGTGAGTACAAGATTTGGAGTGATAACAAGGTTACAATAAAAATAAATTCACATTTTTTGGCAATCCTGGTACTTTGTTTTATTTGCTTGAAATTAGTTCCCACTGTGCACCATCATGATCTCTCTGAAATTTTAATGCATGCTATTTGAAAATTGTGTTCACCAAGAGCATTGTCTAGAATGAAGTACTACCAAGCAAAGAAGAATTTACTGGCATTCTTAGGGTGGTTTCACGTCGGAAAAAGTCTTTAGTAACCTGTGTATAAGATCGAGGTCGATAGGGATGTTTGTTTGGATCTTTTGCTCAGATGCCTTTTTCTTCAGATACTTTTTAGAGCCTTATGCTGTGCATTTGTTAAAATATTTTAAACCTTAAATGAAAAATGTTGACAATCTTGTGATTCAAGTGTAGCTCATGCTATATATACTTTATGTATTGTTTAAAGTATGATAGCTAGTGGCATGGAGCTTTGTTCCTGTAAGTTGCCTTGCATTGGACATGTGGTTTCACATACCAGATGTAAAGTTTCAAACCAGATGTGCATGTAATGTTGTCAGTGTAGCTACAGACTGGGACTGTTTTAAACCTCTCTTGAATTAGAGAGAGAGAAATTGTTTATTTCGTCTCACCAAATACATTTACAGAGTGTAAAATACAATATATGACAAGTTAAAATGTATAAGACACCATAATGGTTATGAGAGATGTTAAAAACATGTAAAATCTATGACATCACAAACCATGAAAAAGTAAATGTAAATATATTAATATTGAGCATAATGGAAAACCTTTCACACCATAACAACTATCATAATCACATCGAAAACTCACAGACAGATGTGTTTTGTCCAACTGAAAGTGATACCATTGCTGTTCAAATGGAGTTAGTTTTGTGAGGCATGTTAACTAATACTGGTATAAGGTTGTATGTATTTCACCAAAACCCAAGGTAATGGTGTAGATGTAGAAATGAGTGACAATATATAATGCTTTCTGGGGGATTTCTTGAAATGGCATTGAGGAGGCAGTTAGGTTCATGTAGATCATATTCGAGTTCATTTTCTAGGACATTGACTGAATTCTAACCAAGATATCCTGAAGACGTTTGTTTTAGTAAGATAATAAAGAATATCTCAATCTGGAAAGTCACTGTATATTGTATAGCTATTGTTTTAGTAAGATAATAAAGAATATCTCAATCTGGAAAGTCACTGTATATTGTATAGCTATTGTTTTAGTAAGATAATAAAGAATATCTCAATCTGGAAAGTCACTGTATATTGTATAGCTATTGTTTTAGTAAGATAATAAAGAATATCTCAATCTGGAAAGTCACTGTATATTGTATAGCTATTGTTTTAGTAAGATAATAAAGAATATCTCAATCTGGAAAGTCACTGTATATTGTATAGCCATTGTTTTAGTAAGATAATAAAGAATATCTCAATCTGGAAAGTCACTATATTGTATAGCTATTGTTTTAGTAAGATAATAAAGAATATCTTAATCTGGAAAGTCACTGTATATTGTATAGCTATTATTTTTCCTTATCCTGACTCATGCTCTTTTGCTTGTCTTCTTCTTCTTGCGAACATAGTGGAACACTTGTATCTCCTTAATTGAAGCTCCCTTCAATGTAAAATCACTAATTAGTACTCACCAAGAGTTGCCTCCCTTTGCCTTTGCGCGGGAAAGGCGTCGCCACCTTCTGGCCTCATGCTTCACTCTCTCCTTCTTCGCCCAGTGAGCAGGATGTGAGAGCACCTGTGTCTCCTTACACACTATATCCTTTGGTTATTCTTAGTTAGTTACCTCCTATAGGTTACTATAGAGGTGTAGCTAGTATCCTTCATTAATATGTATTGATAATTATTCGTATTTCTATTGTTTATTCACGGGATTTCGTGATTGTTCAGCTAGTTTACGTTGATGAAAATCTGTACTATTTGTAGATTACGTTTTCCGCTGCTGACCCGCATTTAATATGCCCTAGCTGTACTACGCCTTGTGCGTTTTCTTAACGTTGCAGTTACTGTATTAATCTATCTAATTCTGCTTTTAATAAATATCATCTTTGCGTCTTGAGACGTGCAGCAGATAGGTCACGCAAACAAGGTTTAGACATGGCCGATACATCGGAACCCCTAGCCAGTCAGCTGCTGTTGGACGACCCCCTCCCGTCTGGTGTTCCGCTAGAGTTTCCCTCGGAGGAGGGGCGTGGGATGCAGTCCGCCGTCTCCAAGAAGCGTCCTGCTTCCCCAGACATCCCGTCATCGCTGCCAAAGTCTAAGAGGGCCTCGACATCTACTCAACGCAGACTCCGTACCCCCAGGGCAGCGTCTACCTCCAAGGGAAAGTCTACGAAGTCTTCAAGAACCTTCTCAGCCCGAGATTGTTCCAGCCGCTGAACTGGGCCTCTATGATGATCAGCCGATCATCATTCCCGATCTACACCACAAGAGACGACCGGTGTCGGCAACAGTTACGTCAGCACAGATCGCCATGCAGCCTGATGTGTCTACACCGATGTCAGACGATCTTCCTGAGGGCCCCGTCGCTAACATCACAGAGAGGGCACCGACTACATCGTCGCAGACCGTCCCAGACGACCTGATGCGGCAAATCATGAAGATGATGGAGGACCACTACAGACTGGAGAGACAACCAGCCCAGGACCTGAGCCTTCGCGAAGGCTCCAACATAGACGACATCCCAGAGGGACCCCCCGTCAACGTAGCAGCCACGACTAAGCCACCTCCGCGAAGGAAGTCACAGACCACCTCGACGAAGGACCCAGATGTACAGCCTGCGCGAAGGCTTTATAGATCATCACCTACCTCGGCCTCATCCTTAGATTCGGACTCGGACCACCAGACTTCATGAAAGCCTTCGCGAAGGTCAAGTCGTCGCTCCCCAGGACCGGACGCAGAGGATGCTTCGCGAAGGTCTTCATGAAGGGCACCAGTAACAGGCTCTAAATCATCTTCGTCCAGAAGGTCATCGAGGGATTCCACAAGGGCTTCGTGAAGCTATCAACATTCACCTCACAGATCTCCGCGAAGGTCAACCTTTAGACGCAGCTCGTCAGGCCGTTCACCAAGACGATCCCCTCGCCATTCTCCATGCCGATCACCTCGCCGATCTCCTCGTAGATCACCACGTCGATCTCCTCGCAGGTCACCACACAAGTCTTCACGGAAGTCCCAAGTCAGGTCTCCTTTAACGTCACCCTGTACAGTGGTAGAAGCACATAGCCCACCATCAGAAGAGCATCAACCTCTTATCAGCGATCCCGTTGTAGAAGATGATGGAGGCATCATTTTCTCAGACGCTGAGATACGTTATTGGATGGTTAACAACCTAGACCTTTCTTCACCTTCCAAGAGTGGTAACTCGGCGCATACTTACCTGATGAAGGAGGACGATGCAGACGCCATCACCTTACCTCCGATCGACCCGATTGCTGCGGTGCCACAGAATTTGGACACAGCCTTCCATAAAGCCACTAAAGTTCAAACGCCACACTTACCGCACTTTCACGCTAAGAAGTTCTCAACCCATAATATGGACCCCTTCCTCAAGGCACAAGACATCGATGATAATTACAAAGTGATCAATGATGTCAAGAATAAGAACTAAAAGATTGACGATCGCAAGCTGGTTCAGATAGAAACCATGACAAGGCGTATGTTCTTTGGCCTTAATAGATCTAGAACGATCAATGAGACTCTTATCACCAGATTTCGAGACACGACTTCTGAAGATGATAGAATGATCTACTCGGCCCTACTTATGCAGAAGGACCAGCAGTTCCTAACGGATCATCTCACATCAGTCTCATCAGCGCTAACCTTAGCTCGTCGTGAAGGCCTCCTCGCTTCCTGCAGCTGGGGTGAGCAGTTTACAGCTCCACTCTATACAGCCCCGTGGTCCTCACCATCCATCTTTGACGGAGGAATAGAGAAAGTCTCCAAGGAAGTCACTAAGGATTCTAGAGAAGTCCTTATGATAAAGTCGATGGACACGCTAGCCAGCGTCATCAGGCAGACTTCACAAAGATATTCAGGGAAATCTAAATTCACTGGATTACAGAGAGCACGGGATAGGAAGATGGCCAGCTCCAGAGGAAAAGATTCTTTTCGTCGCCCATATGGCAACTACAGAGGAGGATCAGGAAGAGACTGGACACCCAGAGGCCACAACAAGCAGGCCATAGAAGTACTAGATCAAGTAAACGTCGAACCAGGCTTCTACTCCCCAGTTTTCTTAGTACCCAAGAAAAACTCCAAGGAGAAATACAGACTCATTTACAACATGAGCACATTCAACAGGGATTATCTACGCAAACCGCCAACGTTTCGCATGATACATCTACCTCAATTACGGCAGTTAATTCGTCCCGTGGATTACATGGCCAGTATAGATCTGCAAGACGCGTATCTGCACGTATCTACACATCCCGATACATCCCGAATCCAGGAAATACCTACGATTTACACTAGACGGGCTGCATTACCAATGGAAAGTACTCCCATTCGGAATATCATCGGCCCCCTGGTTATTCACAAGAATAACGAAACCTATCGTCACCTACCTACATCGTCTAGGGCTACGCAGTGCGTTTTACCTCGACGACGGGATACAAGTAGATCAAGATCCACAGCGTCTCAAACTACAGTTAAACTACATCATCAAGCCACTAACACAGCTAGGATGGTTAGTAAATTTACTCAAGTCGGACCTAGCAACCCTCGCAAGATCTGCAATTTCTAGGCATTCGATTTATCACGACTCTCAACCGTATCGTCGTACCAGAAGACCGATGGCTCAAGATCCAACAGACCATTCCTCTAGCCCTACTCTCTCATCAATGCTCATCTCGGCGACCTACAGAGGCAGACCAGTTTCAGTCTTCATCAAAACACCTCAGACCTCATCTACTATGGTGGACCTCAGACCTCAGGTACGAATGTCTCGCGAATGCTCATGGGCATTTATTTAACAGAGCCGGAATTCAAAACCCATCTATATATAGACGCGTCGCTCCAAGGCTGGGGAGCTCATCTCGCCAACCGGACGGCTTCAGGGTTATGGAATCAGCAAGAAAGCAAACTCCATATAAACATGTTAGAGATGAAAGCGGTAATCAACGCCATACTTCATTGGAGCACCATTCTGCAAAAGGCGCATCTGATGATTCATACCGACAACTCGACAGTGGCGTTTTATGTGAACAAACAAGGCTCAACGAGATCACTGAACCTATTGACTTTATGCTTTCAACTGTTCGATCTAATGGACGATCTCAACTTACATGTCAGAGCATGTCACATTCCCGGAGCCAAGAATGTACTAGCAGACGCACTCTCTCGGCCACATCTACCGTCACCGACAGAATGGATGCTCAATACAGAAATTTTTGCACAGATTATCAAGCAAATAGGAGCTCCGCTAGTAGATCTATTCGCCACTCGCTTCAACAATCAGCTAACGACATTCGTATCACCAGTCCCGGATCCACGAGCGTGGGCAACGGACGCTCTAAGCATATCCTGGGAAGGCCTCAATGCGTACGCGTTTCTGCCGCCAGCGATAATCCCTCAAGTGTTACAGAAAATCAGACAAACACAGAGCCTCCAACTCACTTTGGTCGCGCCCTACTGGCCAGCCAGAACGTGGTTTCCCATTCTAATTCAAGAAATCGGACAACCAACACTAGAGCTACCAAAGCGCTCGAATCTATTAGTACATCCACACACCAAACAGGTGCACGGAAACCCTGAAGCATTCCAACTTCACGTATGGACTGTATTAAAATGTGTTTAAACAAGAGAGGTTATTCAACCAGAGCGGCAAAAGCAGTCACGCTTGCCTTACGCTATTCTACACGTAACTTGTACGACGACAAGTGGCACAGTTTCGAAAATTACACAGCAAAAAAGGGATTTACAGCGAGAAATGCTACACATCCACAAGTGGCTGATTATTTGTGTTACCTACGCCAAAACAAACATTTAAAAGGCTCGACACTCTGAACATATCTTACCGCGTTTAGTTCTGTGATAACTATGAGAACGGGTGTCAAGCTAACCAAGACGCCAGAGTTACTGGCCTTACTACGTGCTTTCCGATTGGAAGATCAGAAACGGAAGTTCCACGTCCCAGCTTGGGATCTTAATATAGTGCTCCAACACCTCACAAGTGAGGCTTATGAACCGTTGGAATCGACAACCTTTGAATTTCTCTAACAGAAAACCTTGTTCCTGTTATCTCTAGCGACGGCAGCCAGGATGTCAGAAATTCACGCCCTAATTTATGAGAGGATACAGTTTGATGACAATCAAAACACAGTGCACTTGGGACTAAGATGGGATTTCATCGCCAAAAATCAATTGCCAGGTCAACCAGACAGATTATTCCATATTCCTGCACTCTCCTCGATTCTCGGATCTCAAGATACACTGGACTTATCTCTATGCCCAGTCAGAGCTCTCTAAATCTATCTACAACGTTCCAAAACAAGGCGACGACTTCTCAAACGATTATTCATCCCTTTATCGGCAACAACTCAGACAGAAGTCTCTCGTACCACCATATCTATATGGATAAGAACTGTCATACTTCGCGCCTACAAGGCTGCAGGACTCGACCCTCCAAGAGCATCTAATCCCCATGAGATCAGGGCATTGGCTTCCACACTCGCTCTACATGGTAACTGTTCATTAAATACCATCATGGAAGGCTGCTTTTGGAAATCCGACATGGTGTTTGCTAATCACTATCTGAGAGATATCACCACCGAGGACGTCTCAGGTATTCACCATTTCGGTCCCATGGTCCTCGCACAGCAGTTGACAGTCCCTCGTAGACGTTAACACATAGTCTTACGAGATTATTATGTATAATTCATACCAGTATTATCTAGCTTATAACTCTACGGAGTTTTAGGGCTATTTATATGCTTAGCTTAAGTCTACTCAGCCTTAAGCCCAGTACTGATGGTTATGTACAGTTGGGTAGCTTCTCCATGTTGGAGTCGCTTTTTATACCTTTATTGCTATTATCATAGTATATTTTTATTGTAATACCCCATCTATGGCAGTGTATAAACTTATGGTTTATAGTAGCAGGAATTATCCTAAGTCAGTGCCATTATTAAGTTCCCATAAGGGGGTTATTACAGTTATATATATATAAATCACTAATTAATTTTATAAATCCAAAGTATTCTGTTCTTTCCCACCTCCGTTTCCGTAGGATTCTACAAGCAAAAGAGCATAAGTCAGGATAAGGAAAAATATGTAATTTTTAGAGTAAAATTGATATTTTATACTTATCCTGACTCATGAGGTAAGCCCTCCCATCCTCCCCACATAACACTTTGGATTTCCCTGTAAATTCAAGTGTTGGGCTCGCTATATCAGGAGAGAGTGAAGCATGAGGCCAGAAGGTGGCGCCTTCCCGGCGCAAAGGCAAAGGGAGGCAACTCTTGGTGAGTACTAATTAGTGATTTTACATTGAAGGGAGCTTCAATTAAGGAGATACAAGTGTTCCACTATGTTCGCAAGAAGAAGAAGACAAGCAAAAGAGCATGAGTCAGGATAAGTATAAAATATCAATTTTACTCTAAGAATTACATGTTTTAGTAAGATAATAAAGAATATCTTAATCTGGAAAGTCACTGTTTATTGTATAGCTATTGTTTTTCCTCAATTTTCAGACAGTGTCAGGTCATTTAAAGAAAGAAACAAGCTTGGACGTTTTGATCCAGAAGAACAAGCTCGTAAACAGAAAGAAATGCAGCAAAAGGATGAAGAAGAAAAGGCAAGACTTGAAGAAATGAAGATAGGTGACCGGTGAGTGTATGATGTATGAAGCTGTCCACATCGCAAGGGTGTAGGTTTCCATTTATACCAACATTATCAACCTTTCCATTACATACACAACCCGTAAAAATGACCCTTCAGTAACCCATGTTTGTCGTAAGAGGCGACTAACGGGAGCGGGTGATCAGGCTCACTGGCTTGGTTGACACATGTCATCGGTTCCCAATTGCTTAGATCGATGCTCATGCTGTTGATCACTGGATTGTCTGGTCCAGACTCGATTATTTACAGACCGCTGCCATATAGCTGGAATATTGCTGAGTGCGGCGTCAAACTAAACTTACTCACTATTACATACACAACAAAAATCATGCTATTTCTTGGCAGTGAAGACTGAGCGCACAATTTCCTAAACACATCCCCCCTGATGCATAACATGTTTGTCCCATATATAAATCTGCATACAAGAGAAATGTCTAGTTATACATACAAAAGTGACTGACTTCCTTCATACTTTAAAGTAGTAGGGAATATCACTTGTAGATAAGCCGATTTCATGGATAAGCCAAGGTCCCAACTTAATCTTTACAAGCCGATCAAACAATGCCGATCAAACAATTAGCTATCCAAATGGTCTGGTACATAATTATAATTAATATATCAACAAGTCTCTATTGAATTGCACAAGTTAGTTCTGTTTTAACACTGTTTCATAATAATATCATGTTTGCTTATTTGGACTAATGTTTGTAATGTAATGTAATAATTTTACAGAAAACATCATTCAATAGTAGGGCTGTGCAATATAACCGGTTAACCGGTTCAGACATGAAAACAATACGTATTGCGATAAGCTGATCGAAAACCGGTATTTTGACATGCATTCGGAAAACTTTGTAACACTCGGAAATCTTTGGATATTTCCGTTGTTCACACCAGAAGTCATGCATTTGTTGTAACTGACTGAGTTTGGTTTTACGCCGCTTTTAGCCATATTCCAGCAACATCACGGCGGGGGACACCAGAAATAGGCTCATTTGTTGTAAAATGGTGTGGTGATGATGATGATGATGATGACTGATGATGATTTTGGCAATGGTGTGGTGATGAAGATGTTGATGATTGTGGCAAGTGTGGTAATGGTGGTGGGAATGATCGTGGTGAAAATTACATTTAACTGGATTGAAGTTCTGTTTGAAGTTGTGTTCTTAATTTGTGTTCAAGTGTTTTGCAGTGTTTTGGATCTGAATGTTTTGAATATTCATTCATTAATGACCAGTGATCTCTGATATGTCCTGACCAAGTCAAGTTGCTGCCTAAAATCTCAGGGCTTTTATGAGAGTGGAGAAACTAGTTCAAACCAGTAACCACTGTGTTAATGATATTAACTTGCCCTTGTCCTTGTTTCATTTGTCCCAAATATTATTTACATTTTATTTTGTCATGGTTAAACATTTTTTAGTAAAGCTTAATCAAGCATAGTGATTTTGTTGTGGTTTTGCGTTATAAATCAAGCATTAACTCGATTATAAGTAGTTTTTGTTAAAACAACTTCTTGCAATATATTGCAATACATATCGCAATATATGCGTTCGCATCGCAATATATCGCAATATGAAAATTCTCTGCAATACCCACCCCTATTCAATAGTGTTTATATGAATTGCAGCAAAATCACTCCTGCAGATGATTACAAATTCTGTTCACACATCACAATCATATTGCCACGACTCACACCTCACGCCTGGATTATAAAGACTGAATGATTAGGCGTCAAAAAAAAAAAAATTGTGATGGAAATAGCGAGATCGTGCAAAACAACTGCAGTGTGACATTTATAAAATGTGTATGACGATACATGAAAGTGCTGCCTCATAAATTTAGTTTAATATTATTTGAATTATATATGCATTTGAAATAACACAATGCTAGAATATATTTCTCTTGGTAAGATAGTCGTGTAAGATCCTATTTTTCCAGTACCTGCATAAAACTGAATTTCTGTTTTATCATTGAGTGTTTTAATTAAATCACCAATAGAGGGGGTGGTGGGGGATGCACAACTGATTTTTCCATCCCAGCTCAAATACACTCAGTAATCTTAATCGCTGTAATTACCGTATATGACCATCTATAAGCCGAATTTTGAGGACCAAAAAAAGCAGTCTGTAGAAGGGGGTCGTCTTATCCATGGGTTACGCTTTCGTCAAACTTTTTTCCAGGGGTAAGAAAACAACATCGTATCACTTTGTGTGAACAAACAACAGAAGACGACTTTGTCAGTAGAGACCTCAAATTTGCAATTAAACATCACTAGACAAGATTATTTACCTTTTAAGTTACTAGTATAAGTTGTTTTTGCTGGGCATTGTATTATTTGCAGGGATTAAGATTACTGTGCGTATTTGTACACAAAGCCGGAAATAGCAATCAGCTGTGCACACGTTTCCCGGCGAACAAGTTCAAACATGCACAATAATATAACGGGACGAATTCTGATGCAGTCATCAGTAAAATATACGATTTTTATTGGACTGAGTTGTGAGGGTCACCCATAAAACTTGTGGTCTGGAAATTGGAAAGAGGTGTTTATTTGAGAGTTTACAGATTGGTCTAGAAATTGGTTAGGGGTACTTGTTTGAGAAGGGCGTTTAAGACAGCGAATGTCATTTGTTGAAATTGTGTATTTTCAAACCCGAGGTGATGTCATTAATTAGACTTGCATATAATCTTTTGTTAGCTTTGCAATTTTTGTTAGCTTTGCAACATATTTTCAAAATCTGTCCAGCATTGGACATGTGTTTCCCAACCATAAGTATAGCCATTAACCCCCTAGCACTGCACGACAGTGGTTCCAGGGGGTGTATATATGAAATGAGAAATCATACATTTATCTGCGTTAACTTTCCTTTGGACAGCAGGTACAATTAAAAGAAAGACTTATTGAAAGTTTTTTATCCCCCGCCGCGCGTTTAGCGGGAAGCGGGGTATATAGTATTAGGCTCCGTCCGTACGTACGTATGTACGGATTGGAATATCTTAAGAACCGTTAACTAGATCTTTTTCATATGTGGTACCTTGTTTCATCACAGTATAAGAAAGGTCCAACTCAGGTTTGGTGACCTTGACCTTCATTTCAAGGTCACAAAGGGACTTTAACATTTTACCTGCATGTTAAGTTATATCAAGAACCGTTCACTGGATTTTCTTCATATTCAATACCAAGCTTTATCTAGGGAAGGCGCAGGGCCCAGTCGATTTTGGTGACCTTCACTTAATTGTCAAGGTCATGGCGACACTTTGAAGATTTCAACATGTAAACCTGCATGTTAAGCTATCTCAAGAACCGTTCCCTGGATTTTCTTCATGTTTAACACCAAGTTTTATCCAGGGAAGGCGCAGGGCCCAGTCGATTTTGGTGACCTTCACTTAATTTTCAAGGTCACAGAGACACTTTGAAGATTTCAGCATATTAACCTACATGTTATGCCTGTCAGCGAGATACCTCAAGAACCATTCACTGGAGTTTCTTCATATTTGACACCAAGCTTCATCCAGGGAAGGCGCAGGGCCCAGTTGGTTTTGGTGACCTTCACTTAATTTTCAAGGTCACAGAGACACTTTGAAGATTTCAGCATGTTAAATTGCCTGTTAAGATAGTCAGCAAGATATCGCAAAAAATATTCACTGGATTTTCTTCATATTTGACACCAAGCTTCATCTAGGGAAGGCCCAGGGCTCAGTCAATTTTTGTGATCTTCACATAATTTTTAGGGTCACGATGACACTCTGAAGATTTCAGCATGTTAACCTGAATTGTCAGCAAGATATTTTAAGAACAGTTCACTGGATTTTCTTCCTAGACTTTCAAGACTTCCCTTGAATGTTTTTCAATAAGCAATTTCTTTAGTACTAGTTTTGCATATTTCATACACTATGACATTCATGTCAAGGTCAAAGTCAGTCTTGAAAATATGTGTGTGTTTGAACAACTGAAGAGCAAGATAGCAAGAGAGGTTGACTGGTCATGTTTTTGTTGACATTTAACTTCATCTTAAACTTTCATTACTGTATAAGTTTGATTTGATCATTTGCGGCGGGGGATTATGTCTCCTTAGTGACAATGCTTGTTGACATTTAACTTCATCTTAACCTACGACCTTCACTTTCATTACTCTTTAAGTTTGATTTGACATTTGGCGGCGGGGGATTATGTCACCTTAGTGACAACTGCTTGTTTGATTCTAAAATGGATGAGGAATTCAGTGATGTATTTGTCGTATCTGAGTGTGAAATGTACGTGATGTAATACATGTCTCATGACTGGCCTTGGTGAAACGTGATTTTGTAAACAGTATCCAGTATGGCAGAAAGCTCACTTTGGCATTCGTGTTCCTGTATTTTTAAAATCCCACACAATTATAGGTTTATCAGCAGCGTTTCAGAATTATTATTAAGCTATTTTTTAAATTCAGTACTCCTGGTAATTAGCCGATCTTTTACATTTCAAAACATGCACCAAATAATGTTGTGAATCGCGATTTCATAATGTGTAAAAAATGGCGACATATACAATGACGTAGCCAAGTTTGAAAGGTCATTTTCAGCATGTTAGCTTTGTTGAAGATAATAGTTGATGGTATCAAGAAACAGGACATTTCCTGCAGAATTTCAGACATGCATTAATCAGTGGCTGAAGTACCGTAGTGCTTTTCGTTCTTTAGGATTCTCCAAAAAGAAATTTCCTGGTCTGTAGTGGTGTCAAAATGTTGATGTTTTTGTCCAGACCAAAACAAGTAGTAACTATTCTTTCATAAAACCAGGTTGGTGTCTTTTCCTTTTTACAGAATTTTTAATATACGTTTTTCTGTTTCCATGGCAATAAATTTGACTTTGACCCATGTTGGAGTATACCTGACATAGAAATGAGAAGATCTCATTTCCAGTTACACGTTATTGTTTTGACAACTACTCATGCATTCAGACAGAAAGACAAAATAGAATTTCCCTCATCAAGTTGGACTTGAAATACCAGCCAGATGATCTGTTCATTTAAATTTGTGAGGGCCAGGGACATTTGTCATCTTGTTAATGTACTCAAATGACTTCTTGTCCTTGCATGTTACAGCTGTGAAGTCCAGATCACTGGTCAGCCCACACGAAGAGGAACAGTAAAGTATCTAGGTAAAATAGCTGTAAAGTATTATTATAACATTAATATAGGTGGTAAGGTGGTTTTAAGTTATCAATTTAACATCAGAATAGTTGGTTCGAGGGCCGTCACAGGATACAATAGGATTTCTTCTACCAAAGTTGAGTTCCAATCTTGGATCGTTTGATTCCATCTACTGATGTTTAACACAACATACTGGGGGAGGTTCTTGGAAAATCTCTCCAACATTAATTCCTTGAGAGATGTTATTCAAGTTCAAGTTGGGTGAGTCCATAGGTTGCTGGTTTTGTGTGAATCTCACACAGCATTGAAAGCCTTCACTGAGTTTGCTGGTGAGAATGAAGTATCGCATAAAGGGATGTTTTACATCCAACACCAGTAATTCATTCTTTAATATATATAACATCAAAATGTTTTTACAAATTTTGAATTTCTAATTAATTTTAAATTGTGAAGAGTTATTCTGTTTCACATGGTTTACACCCACCCAGCTGTCCCCTTGCCAATCTGGTGCTAAGATGGGAATGGCAAGATTGGGTCATAATGTGTGCTGTGCACCCAATTACCTGTCATGAGAGGCAACTAAATTGTATGTCCCATTTGTCGTGGTGGGGGTGGTGGGGTAGCCTAGACGTCCGCTCGTCATGCCGAAGACCCGGGTTTGATTCCCCACATGGATACAATGTGTGAAGCCCATTTGTGGTGTCCCCCGCCATGATATTGCTGGAATATTGCTAAAAGCGGCGTAAAACCATACTCACCCATTTACCGTGAGCTGTGCCCATGTGTCATTTGGGGCATGTAGTCTGATAGTTGAGGGCACTGGTTCTAGGAACAAGGTTCATTTGCCCAACAGACTACTTTGACCTTGACTTCACATCCATGGTGGTTTAAGAAACAGTGCTTTTATTACTTTTCGGCCTGGCCTTCAAAGTTGTTGTTTGTGGTTATGTTTATACTTCAATTACATAATTGAATGGCCCTTATTGGCACTCAGTGGCACGTAGGGAGGATGAAATTATAATACCAGCCATAGATTACCAGCCACCCCAATTTCTGTTGACATCAAGATTTCTCCTTACACAGGGTAATTGAAGGTTCTACTTCCTGTTATAATATCTGCAGGTGACACTGACTTTAAGCCTGGTCTGTGGGTGGGAGTGCAGTACGATGAACCACATGGCAAAAATGATGGCAGGTAAGTTGAAACAATCATGAATAATTTGTTTTAACCAAAAAAATCAAACCTTCATGGTCTGCAGATTAGGATGTTTATCAGCAGACTGCACTGAATGCAGTAAGTTAAAAAGGTTCCACAAACAAGATAAAGATTGCTAGCTGCAAAATGTCTTCATTATACCTTATAGAAAATTATGAAATCGGACTGTGTCTGTGGTGATCAAAGTTGACAAAACTACCTTATCATACTGATAATTGATAGGTAACAGACAATTTAGATATGCAGCTTAGATCCAACCCTGGGAAACCATCACCTGACAGCATTTCACACATGTACTGATTTTAAATATACAAAGGAAACAATCAAGACATACAATTTTCAATGTGTATATTGTGATGGGAGGCACTGGAATATAACAGAGAAGGTGTATTGATGTACTTTACATCATTACGTTGTACTGAAATGTAAATGTACTGGGAGCATGGGTAGCGATTTATGGTCATGCATCAAATCTTGGTCGTTGGTTCCATTCCGTTCCAAGGTTGTTCCAGGGATTTCACCTAAGTGAATTGTACAATTCTGAGACTTTCCATTATGGTCAGGGTCATGCCATACTTCCTTTGTGAACTTAAAGTAATGCTGATACATGAGAAAGCTTCTATCTTTCAGGAAATAGTGGTGATGTACTTGCTAAAGTCGGAAATAGAAAAAAACTGTATTTTCTCATTTATCTCTACAATTTATGTAGTTGATATGTGCAAGTGTGAAATATCTGTTAAACTAAGTTCGGCCTAACTACAAGTCTCAGTGGTAGGGACATAAGAAACGTAGAAAAAGGACTTTACTGAGGAGAGATTAGTGCAGAAATTAGCAATGCGGGTTTTTTCTAAGTCCAGAGCGATTTATTTGGAACAGACCATGGCTTTATACAAGTTAGTGTGAGACGATATTGTATTACAATTGACACTTTTTAAATGCCCAATTTGAAATTAGACGTAGCTTCATTATAAACGATAGCTGGCATGAAATATAATAACTTTCATGCTGAAACTATTAAGGATTTAGCTACCATGCAGTCTCACTGTCACTATAAAAAGAAACAGATAGGAGGGTTTGTCTCAAAAGGAAAACCTGGATGGGTGTCGCAAACAATCGTTGGGGTCGGGCTTGGGGATAGAGATGATCAGCTAAGATAGAAAATCCTTCAGGGCAATTATACTGGGGAAGTACACGGCATGTCATAACAATGTACAAATAATATCCAGTCCTGTCGATCTTCGCGATCGGGTGGTCATGCCACCTAATACATTCAATACGATGCGTCTCCATGGTTTTCAGGTATCATACTCTTTTACATATCTCAACATAAAACTTCATGAAAGAAAGACACGTAAGATGTTTATCAATAGATGAGGGGCATAGTCAACACACATGAAAAAGCACAAAATATCTTTGAGATGACCCCTTGTGCCTGCAGGCAGCACATGCATTTCATGCCAGGTGAGTCGACGGTCCGTCGTCATACCTGGCTGAGCGACCTAATTGCCATCTATAGTCTGAACTATAGTTTTTCAGCAGCTATTTGTATTTTTTCTAAGTTTTGCCCGATTTACGAGTAAGCATGGTTTTCTGGATATTCTATTACGCATCCCACTGAATGACAAATTAGGCCGAAGTGGGTTATTTCAACATGTGCTATTTGCAGTTGTGTAAATTTTAGGGATACAGAGTAACAGCCTAAAAACAGTTTGTTTCTATTTCCGACAGTACTTTATCACCTCAAGATATTTAGGCCACAAAAATGGCATGATAGAAAAGTAAATTGTTGATGGCTCAGTGTTGAAACCAGTGTACCAGTGTTGCACAAGATTTATTGTTGCAGAATAAAAAAACATTGTTGCATTTACTTTTAATTGTTCATGACATATCCAGATGAGTGTCATCACAAGTTTGTATAATCATTAATTAAGTGAATGAACATTTTTCAGTGTTAGTGGCAAGCAGTATTTCAGTTGTCAACCCAAGTATGGAGGATTTGTGAAGCCCCTGAATGTAAAAGTAGGTGACTTTCCTGAAGAAGACTTTGGGTTAAGTGATGAAGAGATGTGAAAGAACAGCAGACCAAGTTAGCTCTCCTGATCCAATGTCATTACCAGAAATGTTATCTTCAGAGCTGATTTGCTGCAAGGTTGATGACATGCCTTGGAGAGAATATTGCAGTGAAAGAGAAGTTGTGAATCGAGAGTTCCTTTCAGTGTGATATAAGAAAACCTGAAAGATGAAAATAACTTTGTCTCCCATGTCCTGAATTGAAGCATACCTAATGGTCCAAGAACTTCACCTGGTTTGTTCAGGAGGATCTATCATATGTATGCTCAGTGCAGAATTGCATCAGGGAGACTGTTATGCCTGTGGGCAGTTGTGATGAACCACACAGAAACACTGAGAGAAGATCGCTTAACCAGTAAAGCAGCTTTCAAGGACAGTATGTTGCATGGCCATCTCTTAGTGTATGAACAGCTACATTTATATACAGTGGCTATTTGTTCTGCTTGTGGCTCGTGATGTGCCCTTGGAAAGTAACATATATCTTTAAGCCCCAACATCTACACAAACACATTCTGTGAGGCATTGTTATTGCAATATTTGGTAGACTTCATTGTAATGGACTGTAAAGCAAAGTGCACTGTCTTGCTGTTTTTATTGTATTCCAAACCTGCTGGATCACTTGTGTACAGGTTTGTGTCAAACTGACATTCCTTTTGACTTTAATACTAAAGTGCAGAAATCCTTTTAATCATGTTCATTTCCCATACATTATTCCACAGATTGAAATCCTAAAGCTGAACATTTAAAGTATTGTAGTCAATGTGCTGGTTCTAAACGTTTCAAAATATAACGATTAAGGCGGAAATGGAGATTTGTTATAAATATTAGCATCTACTATGATGTTAATGCATTCTGTCAAAAGTTTTGATGTGTTGGAACAAACTACAGTGTACCAGTAATTGTTTTGACACATGTTTTCTTGTAATTCTTTTGTTAAATTGTTTGTTTTGAGAATGAATTAGATGAATGTTGTTGCTATTTGCTTTTAATCAATAACACTTAGAGAACTATATGTTGGTTAAGTTCCCTTTATGAAGGCCCTGGATCAGTTCATTCCTTCGGGGATGGCAATTTTCCGCTGATCCGCGGATTTCAGCAGATTTTATTTCTCTTTGATCAATTCAAACCCCCCATTCGGTGACACAATACATGTACATGTGTATTAGGTTTTCAGCTGAAAATAGATTTTCCTGTTGCCATCCCCGTTTCTTAGTGTAGTATCATGCTGGACTTTGGATCAGTCCACACAGAGTGTAACTTATGGAACTAAATATGGCTTGCAGGATGTGCATGTTAACATGAAAATCTTGTTGCACTAGATGACACCAGGTCGCTCATCACAATATCAACAGATGTGTATAATTGAGAAAATAAAGTCTTTGATCCCAGATCTGTGTCTTTTTTTTTCTATGTAGTTACTTGTACATAATCCAAACATCTTATCTTTAATGATACATGAAGCTACGCAATCACAGCTGAACATCATTGTCAATATTGCCACTGCTCCCTGCAGACATGTCAGCGCCTGTGCACCAGTGTGCAGGTTGATGCTTTCTGGCTTGTAATGTGCCTCAGAAAGGACTGATGTACCCAGTTCAATTCAAACATCATGAGGGGCGGTGGGGTAGCCTATTGGTTAAAGCGGGTTCGATTCCCAACATGGGTATAATGTGTGAAACTTATTTGTGGTGTCCCCCCACGGTGATATTGCTGGAATATTGCTAAAAGTGGCATAAAACCATACTCACTCACTCACTCACTCACTCAAGCATCATGTGATAACTGGTCTGTTTTCACAAAATTTACGACTTCAGTAATGCAACACAAGTCTGTATGCACAAAACGGTGAACTCCCCACATGATATCAAGCTAAAGGGGAAAATGATGCATGTTGGTAGTAAATATAGTACATCTCGTTCAAAGATTGATGTATTGTAGAGAAGCTGCTTTGTAGTGTGGTCACAATATGTCAGACCCACACTCAGACTGGGGACCTAATCACCAGGACATTAAGTCAGAGATCTAACTCACTCACCGGGGAGATTATGTGCGTGACTCAATTCCCTCAAAGTACTAGAATCTGTACTTTCCTGAGAGAGTGTAATCTCAACCGTGACACATTACATTGACAACTTTCTAAATGGACACTATGTACTCATACACAAATATTGGATAATCTGTACCAAATTAACTGGATCTGCAAAAGCTATTGAACTAAATGATTTTGAAGACTTCAAATTGATATACTCTGCAATATGAACTGCTGAAGACCAATTCTAACCCAGATCTTCCTGGGACTAGGTATTCTATAGATGTAAGTATTTTCATTTGTCGATACTTGAGAAGTTTACTTCTGAAATGTGCATTTATTGCTCCCAAACCGCGACACTGCTGTCGCCAAGAAGATCTGGACTGGCCTCCCCACAGATGCATTGGTGTAACGTTCATGGCATCGACTTTACACGCATTCTCTACCATCCACAACTGAAATACAGCAACACGTTTCATCAGAAAATACAATTCTACCAGATAAAAAAAATAATACTGAGTGAATGTATAAAGGGCTAAAATACTTCAAGACAAAAGTATTCAAAACGAGTAGGAACACGGAAATCTAGCAGTAATAATGTAGCAGTGACGTTTTCAAGTATTTTTACAATGTAGTTTGTTTTATTTAAAAGTTAATAAAAAGTTATACCCCCAAAAATTCCTTTTTTTGTGTTATACAGTTTTGTGGGAAACAGTATTATTCATGGTATTCTCATTATCTGTTATCTGTGTAGGCCAGGTTGATGAATATGCATATCACGTGCATTTCATGTTAGTGGGAATCTTTGTGATAATATTGAGGATTTTGATTGGCTGATTGGATCATCTGTTTCAATAAGATGATACCTCGTGGTGTCAGATGGTTGTCATTGCGTTCTGAATGCCGAACATGTGAGGCCAAGTCAGAGTTGTCACGAGGTTACTTTATATACTGAACATCATTGAAAACGCACCAGTCTAAAATTGTCCATAATTTCATCAAGATGGATTTCAGCATGACAATGATCAATGAATATCACTAACATGAAGTCGAAGGGCATGTCCAGTTGAAAAAATGCCTTAGAAACAAATTCCTGTCCACAGTATGACTCTTAATTCCAAAATGCATCAACATGCAGCCACGCCATGAAAAAAGCGCGAATTTCATTCTGAAATCATACTGACTGTGACATTAAAAGCAGGTGTATGAGAACCAATTCTCATTGCTTCACTAACGATTGTGAAACGAGGACAGAGATGCCGAGGTTAACACCTCATGAAAGAGAACGTGCACTAGACATGATTCAGGTTGGCACCAGCAGCAGGGATATTGCTCGACAACTTTGGACTTGGCCACTCCACCATCGTTAGGCTTCATAGACGACATCAGTAGACAGGCAGCACCCGTGACCTTCAATGACCTTGGCAACAACGTGTTACGACGCTCCATCAGGATTGCCATATTGACCTTGTCCATATCAGTGATTGAACACTGCCGACTGCTGCACTAGTTCAAGGTTGACGTGGGGGTCATCAGCGCTGACTCCATGCGACGCCGTCTACACGCTACAGGGCTCCATGCTCGACGTCCTTATGTTGGACCAATTCTGACTGACAGACACCGTTATGAGCGTATACAATGGGCTAGCAGGCATTTTCAGTAAAGGTTACAACAATGGCATGGTGTGGTAGTCACTGACGAGTCACGTCTTCATCTACGTAATGCTGACGGCCGATTACGTGTTTGGCGTAGACGTGGTGAACGTTATGCTGATGAGTGTGTGGTTCAGACAGACCTTTGGGTGGTAAGAGTGTCATGGTCTGGGGTGGAATAAATTACAATCACAGGACTGCCTTCATGTCTGTCAAGGGAGAGTTAATGCCCTTTATTACAGTGAGCAGATTCTTCAGAATCACATCGTATCTTTCTTCAATCACCACCAAGATGTCCATACTTTTCAACAGGACAACGCACGGGCACACACAACAAGACTTTCCATGCAGTATCTGGCCCAGCAACACATCCAGGTTATTCATTGGCCAGCACAGTCGCCAGATTTATCCCCCATGGAGCACTTGTGGGACGAAATTGGTCAAAGTCTTTCGCGGCGAAAACAGATGCGAAACATCCGGGAACTTGAGGCTGCACTACTGCAGAAGTGGAATGCCATCCTCAAGAACTCTATTCGGACGCTTATTGACTCAATGAGGAGACGTTGAACTGCAATGTGTCAATACAACTGGCGGTCACACGCGATATTGACTTTTCGATTTGACCCCACGTGTGTTTGATCAGGGAGACTCTATAAAGGGGAGTGGTCACTCCTCGAAAAGCCCCTAGGCTATGCCTCGGCTCGTCACGTGACCAGTGTAGCCAATATGGCGGAAGCGTAGTTTTTAAGATTGAGCCCGGTTTATTTTCAACAGCTGATTACAGCTGAGTGTTGTGACAACTGAAAACCTATATGTAGAAGATAAGTTACCTATTCTGTAACTTCATTTTAAGTCAAATAATTGTTATTAGTGTCAGTATTAGTACAGTAGATTTGTAGTAAAGTTTCAAGCCGGCATGTTGTAGCTCTCTGGCTTCAATTCTCGGTACACAGCGAAGAAAGACTAAATTATATCGCTAAAAACTTCTTTCACAAAATTGTTTAATTTTTAGAAGGGAAATATACCTTTAGTTGAAAGGTGTTTGCAAGTAATAGTGATAGTTTTATAACTAAAAAAAATTGTTAGGGTGTATTTGAGGTGTGTGAAAAGTATGACATATCGCCGATCTGCCATTGAAATACTACAGGGCGTTGTTTGAGTGTTTCTAGTTATTGTTCTAAATCATCTTTCACATACACCTTTAATTTTTATGAGGGGGATATACCATCAGGTGAAAGGTGTTTGCAAGTAATAGTGATAGTATTATAATTTAAAAAGATTTGTTTGGGTGTATTTAAGGTGTGTGAAAAATATGACATACCGCCGATTTGTTCTGATACGCCATTGATGCTTGTGATGCTTGAGTGTTATAGTTCTAAAACTTCTTTCTTTCTTGTTGATCTTAGTATATGACAAAACTGGAAAGGTGTTTACAACGCTTTGTGATAGTTCTAAACTTTCTGTTTTTGAGGGGTCCGTGACAGTGTCAGATAACATTCTGTCAATGCCCATGCCATTCCACACATGCAATAAGATATCTGAATTAGTTACTAATGTAAAAAAATGTCTCAAAGTAGATTTTTTGAAAAAAGGATAGCTGATGTTAACATATGTTTTCTACCGATAGTTTTGCGTTCTTTAACATGTTTGGGGAGGGATGGCCGTGGTGTATCATTTATTCTTTCATTCATTCACATATGTATTTCTTTCTTTTGTTCTTTTTCTTTATTTCTTTCATTCATTCACATATAATTCTTGCTCTTAATTCATTCACTCATTCATTCATTCATTGTAAAATTCCGACTGATACAAAACACTGGCTGAAGTACTGTTAAACGCAGCCGAAGTTGCGCTGGGAACGAACCAAGTCACTGTGTGCGTTGGAGCATGACGAGGCACACGTTAATTAGTACAAATGGTAAAGAAAGCAATCGAGTGACCTATCCTGGTTTGATCCTTTCTGACTGGAACATTTCAATGAATGAGCGTCTTTTCTGTGTTGTTGTTTTTGTCAGTCGTCCATCTGTTATTATCCACTCAAAAAATATCAATTCCTAACACGTGCTTTTAATAATCTGAACTTTTATAAGTGGTGCGTTTTCAGTGATGTTCAGTATATATGGTTGTACAAATGGTTTATAAAGTTGTCAGGTTATAAAGTATTAGTAATGTAGTTACGCTACTGGGGACCGATCCACAAAGCGTTCGTAACGTAACGACCTGTCATAACTCTATAGTTCATCATAGGCTTACGAATGTCGTAGCGCTACGAACGCTTTGTGGATCGGGACCCAGTTCTAGGATAAAAACGTCTATTAAACATTATTTAATAGTTTTTTAAAATGTAAACGTTATGCATAGCTTAAATGGTTTAGGCAGTAAAGTATTCACACCAAATGTTGTATTCTCTTATTTTATTCACATATGGATTCTTTGCAAGTATCTCGTGTGTAGAATGTACGCGCTGTGATATTGGCTGCTAAGAATGAGATGTGTATGGCATGTGGAAGTTATGGATGAGTGTTATATATGTACATTTTACCATTTTGTGTGTCGAAGGTTTTTCATCACGTTGCCGTCGGGCAGAGATGAAGGCGTTGCTTTGTCTTTTAGACGGGTGAGCTAATTTTGAATATGAAGTGTTAAACATGTACTTTTCATTTTCATTTGTTCTGCTAATGATCCTTGCACCAGTGTTCTGCACCTTCT